TAAAAGATACATATATATATATATATATATATATATATATATATATATATATATATATATATATATATATATATATTGATTAATTAATGATGAAAAATTAATGAATAAAAATTATAAAAACTTTAACCAAAAATTTTTCTATAAAAATATCTTTTTTCTTTTTTTAACATTATACTTTTTACTTACAGTTGATTCAATAATTCAATTAATATAATTCGATTAATACAAACACTCACTATAGATACAAATTTATAATTAAAAACAAAAAACAAATACGATTTGCTTAATTACGAATCCAGATAACAGATCAATCGTTCAACGATTAATGCCTATTTCAGATACATTAGTTAAATATCTAAAAAATAAAATTATTTATTAAAATATAAAACAAAACGAAAAAAAAAAAAAAAAAACCGAAAAGAAAAACAACGCCTTCAATAATATACGGAATGCATATTTAAAGTTGAAGGGCTGATGGTCGTATTTGTAAAATTCATAGATCCAGACAATAAGCTTAGATCGTAATAAATAAGCAGAATCGTGATTAAAAATTTTGATATTACATCAAATGCGTATAGCACTCTGATAAGCTTGAGGATGGTCAGAGCTTGAGCTGCTACTCTCGCTTGAATGTATGAGGGACTTGATAATCTGCTTCTTTGTTCGACAACAGCAGAGCCTTGTAAGATAATCACCAAATATCGTATCGTCGTCCAGGCCATCCCTATAAGCACCACTCGATGCGTCCTCCGTGCATACCGATATGAAGGACTGCAAATCATTCTTTGGAAAACCGTCCCTGTAGTAAAGCTTTATCGTGTCGTATGCGTCCATTATGACCGATATGAAAAGGCTCAGGACCACGTAAATGTAAAGCGAAATGAAAGAGTACAAGTAGATGCGCGAATACCACCAAAGCATCGACGATTTATACGATGTTATGGAGAACGTAGCAAACATATCGTCACCATTAATAAGGGCAAATAAACACTCTGACGTTGTAGCAAGGGAGCGAAACTTCATGTGATAAGGTCCCAGAACAAGCCAACCACAAAATGTAAATCCTGCATATATAAGTATGGCACAGATTAAAAATCGAGCAACTTTTGGTGCCGCCTTCTTTAATGTTAATATCACGACATTGTATGTCTTAAAGAAGCCAAGGTAGCGAAGTACACCAAACCATACCAGCAAATTTCCAGTGCCCAAGAAGATGCTGCAGATATTCCAATGGTCGTTACCATACTGTTTCTTCTCGATCTGCTGCTTTATGGCTGAGCCCATTATTAAGAGAATATCATTTGCAATTATCATAACATACCAGAGGTTCAAAAATTCTAAACGTTCGTCAATGCCCAATGGCTTCCCGTACATTTTGTCAAAAAAATTCATAGTTTCAAATTTTAGTATCTGCGCTCGATAAATCGCTCTTGAGCATAATCCTAATGAAATACTACAAATAATTATCACGAGTAGGTTCAGCATTGTTCGCAATGCTGACTCTATTTGATTATCGGTTATGTACTGCGTATCACCCTTGCAAACTAGTCTCATAGGCTCTGCGTCCAGTGATAGCAGCATCTGCCCGTCAAAATCTTTATTATCAAAGAGAATTTTTATGTTAAATTTGTAACAGTCGGGAGGTGTTATTGGTCCAGCAGCCTTTAAGTTAACAGTTTTGAGAGCAAATTTCAACTCCGCTTTAACTAGGGCAGAGAAATTAACGTGAATGTTGCTTTGTTGCAGAAGAGTTTTTGATGTAAAATTTTGTTCCTCCTGTCTCGTTATATTAATACAAGTTTCATCTATTTTATTATTGAAAATGTAGCTTTCATTAAAACCAAATATAATTCCTTCTTCATAATTATATAGGCACAAAACAACCAAGCCAACTGAATTATCTTCAGCCGTGTAAGAGTACGATCCAATCGCATTACTGAGATTATAGTATCCTGTTAAAGCATAATCGACAGTTTTATAAAATTCATCTTGTCTGTAAAGGGCGAGAGGTCCTGTAGCAGGTGGATAAGCCTGTACCTGAAACGAACGATATTTTTATTATTATCATTAACATTGGCTGCATTTGACAAATGAAATAATAACCGAAAACAAATTTTGGACAAATTGAATATTAATGTCATAAATGTGTTTTGTTTATTGCTCATTATTAATATTTAAATTTTAATATAGATTTTAATACGATTCAATTAATGAAAATATTAAGATATTGAAAATATTAAGATTTAGGTAAGAATTATACGCACTTCTTGGCTTATATCCCAGCCTCGAAGAAATAAATGGGAAAAGGCAATTCTATTGTCCCACGTATAATTAACGTGCATATAATTATTATGTGCAAATACGCAGAGTTGGATTGTTACCAAAATTATTTTTATCACTTGCACAACAAATTTATACGGAAATCTTCTCTTTGCTTGCCATTTTTCAATAGGGTTCATAAAAAAGAATCTTAACTTTCTTCGCATCTTGTCCTCTATATTACTGGTGCCGCAACATATATTTTGCCCCAGACACCTTCCCTGAATATCTCTATAATTAAATTAAAAAGTTTTTTCATACTTAGCAATACAAATTTAATAAATTTATATATGCCTCTTATTTGCGCTTACCTTTTATTTATACAGGGATTAGTATTTAATTGACTATTTTCAACATCTTCGTCACTTTCTGGAGCTTCGCTCCATGAATTATTACGAAGAACATTTCCTATTTGACTTATTTGTCCAGATTTCATTCTTTCCTGCATGATTTTGAATAATCTGCGACTTTAAAATGGAAGAACTATCCCTATTGAAATTATTTCAATAAGATTTCACTACCTGCAAAATTATGACTGGATTTCTCAATTTCACTAAAAATTCTTTTCACACCGTTACATTTAGCCGTCTGAAAAACGTTGTATCATTACATTTTTTTTTATAAAATCAACTCCTTTACAAAACCTAGTGAATCAGTATTTATACTTACAGATCCCTGAAACCCCATAAAAAATTGTTTGAGAAAAGAAATGTGAAGAATATCCATTTGGCTTTCAATTTTTAACGAAAACTTTAACAAAAAGTCTAAATTACGATTTTGCGAATGAGCATTAAATTACTTTATTAGACAGACGTACATTGCACGAATAAATTCAAGTTGAATGTCAATTTATTGAAAACAATGACAGTTTACTAGAGTAAAACACTTGTAACATAAGTTTACAAAATATATGCACATTTATATGCGCAAATGAGTGCGTCGCGTATTGAAATCATATGATTTTGTGTGGCCTAGGGAATTTCTAGAAATTTCGTTTCCTTTGGTATTTCACAATGTGGTGTTGTTGATTACTTAGTTACTAGTACGCTGATTTAAACCTGACAGTTGAAATAAAACAGGTTTTGAAGACTTAATCATTCATTATTAATAAAGACAATATTTTTTTTTTTTTTTTTTTTTTTTTTTTTCAATAAAATGTCTGAACACTATTTTAAGGATATACGGACAATTGGTGCCAACATAGACGAAGGAGTTTTGAAATTGCAAGAGGCATGGAAAATGCCGCATCTTCTTCTTTGTAAAAGTAATGAAGAAGATCAAATAGCGGCTAGGAATCTTGTTGAAAATTTAAGAAGTGAATTGAATATATTAAAGGTAATGTTAGATAGATGTACATCATATTTTTCATATGTATTTTTATACTTTTCTGTCAATCCTCTTTACATACAGTTATTATTTTTGTAATAATTTCTTCAGAAAACATTAAGGGAGAGCCAATTAGAAATCACTAGATTACAAAAAATACAAACACAATTTCTTGACGAAACAGTAGAAGCTATAAGAATCTTAAAGGAAGAAGTAGAAGATACTAAAATTTTATTTGCTGAAAATGGATACGAAGAGGAGCCCACTGATGAGAACCTCGTCATTTTTAATAATCAACTCGAATCATTATCCATTCGTAATAATGATTCGTTTGTAAAAAATTCTGATAATATTACAGAAACTTCCACTTATGAAAACGCTTTATTATACGATTCTGGAACGAATGACTCTGTTGATAATGACACTTCGATAACAAATAATGTTTCCGTCGGTAGTTTGCAAAAGTCATTATTGAAGGAGCAGCCCGTTAAACCAGTATATTCTCCTTATTATTATAAACTTTTGAAAAAATGAACTAAGTTAATAGTTTGTATCTTATTAACTTTATATTTACAAATCATGTATATAGAGATACCTTATAACATTTTTTACGTTAATAGTAAAATATTGCTTGTATTAATAATAGAATGAATTTTACTTTATGATGAGAATGAACTGAATTTAAGCTCAATATAACAAGAAGATATATTGGTAGTCAACAGTTGTCAACCGTGTTAAAAATTATTGTAACATCTTTTAATATCTGACATGTGTAAAATTGATTACGATTCTTAAATTTTAAATTAAATTATTGATTAATCTTTATAATTAAAGCTAATTGAAAATGAAAATAAATAAATCAACAAAAATAACTGGAAAAAATATTATTTTAATTCCTTATAAAGCGCATCATGTTTTAAGGTTAGTTTTGACGAGTTGAATTGATAAAAATTCAAATAATGTTTACAATATTTAATCATAGATATCACGAATGGATGAAATCGGAAGAATTACAATTTCTTACAGCTTCGGAACCATTAACATTAGCCGAGGAATACAAAATGCAAGAAAGCTGGTGTAAAGATGAAGATAGTTAAGTCTAAAAATACCTTAAATAAAATATCTACTAATTTACGTGATTAAATGTTTTTTTTTTTTATTTCAGAATGCACTTTTATAATTCTAAATAAATCACTATTTGAAGAGAATTCTAACGAAATAGGTAATTATTTTTTTCTTCGTTAACAAAAGTTTGAAAAAATTTATTTATTATGCATATTGGATTGAAGATTCTATGATTGGTGATACAAATTTATTTTTTAATAATTCGGAGAATAAAAATCACGCTGAAATGGAAGTTATGATAGCCGAAACAAAAGATCGGAACAAAGGATACGGCTGGGAGGCAATTATGCTTATGCTGCGATACGGTAAAAATCGTTACTTAGTTAAATAAGAAATTAAAATAAATTTTTCATGCATTTCATCTAGGAATCGAAAAACTAAATGTAAAGATTTTTTTTGTTAAAATTTCTATGTATAATGAAAAAAGTATAAACATATTTACCAAGTTAGGATTTAAAGAGGTATTAATTTTTTTTTATTTTTACTTTTTAATACAAACCATATTTACTAATAAAATTATAATTTTTAGATCTCTAGAAGTGAAGTGTTTAAAGAAATTACACTGGAGAAAGAAATTAATAACGAATGGCTTGACTGGATTAGATCTCAAACAATAGAAGCTACTACGGATGAGAATTATGAAAATAATCAGTCATAAAATTGTATTTACGAAGTATAAATAATAATATTAAAATAAGAACGTCGCAATTGTAATTGTAACAATAAAAATAACAGGTATAAAGCATGTAAAAAATAAATTCACAACAAAAAAACAATAGATTGATAACAACATGTAAGACACAGTTTTAAGATAATTAATTTTAATAATTACAAAGCTAATTTGATCACATAGCTTTGTATATCAAATAACAGGTAATTTAAAATTTCTTTAATGACTTCGATATAGATTGAAACCAGAAAATTGCCAACGCCTTTCCATATTAGCACCGATGCCTGATAATTCCTGTTTAAATACTTGTGGAAATCGTTGCATTAAAATTTCAACTTCATTGATTCTAAGATTTGGCTCGATTTTTTGAAGATAGTAGTAAACATAATCAAGACTTGCACCAAATGGATGTATATGTAAAAATGTTGCTATTAAACCTGCACAAAAATTCAAGAAAAACAATCACCATATAATATTTATATTTTTATTAATTGACACTTTTATGGTATATTGTTTAATACCTATAAGTTTGGCATCCTTTTGCGTAATTTGTATAGTGCCGGACGATGTGACGATACATTTGGGAGTGCGCTGTTCATCGTTAATGTCATCATCTTTATCTAACATAATAACTTCGCTCTCTTGAAATTCTTCTTTTCTATTAGTATTTAATTTGACTATTAAATCTTTAATTTTTTGATCATCCTGAGCTTGCTGTTTCTTAGATTGCATCAATTGCTCCTGCATTCCTTTAAGCGTTTGTTGTAACATTTTCATTTGCTTTTCTTTAGCTTCAGCCTCTACTTTTGTCTCAGATTTTAATAAATCCACCTAAAATTTCAAATACATCGTATATGTATAGTTAATAATTATTTTAATGTTAATTAACGTAGTAAATAATTTTGTCAAATGTTTTTGAAGTATTAGCGAGTCTGTACGATTTTCACGTCTTCAAATAGATAAGTCAATATAAATTATCAAAAAAATAAATTCACCTCATTTTTATAAGCTTCTAATTGGCAACGTAGACTATCGTTCTCTTCCTTGAGACTTTGCAATCTTTCGGTATCTTCATTGCCCGCTGATTGGTTTCGAGTTTTTTTGCGTTGAGGCTCGTCTTCTGAATCGGATACCTCCATCTCTCCTTCTCCTTCCATAAGAGTCTCCTCTAATTGCACAGCCTTAATCTCCTGTTTCAATGTAGAGGAAATTGTTAAGATTTACTTTTATAAATCATAGTAAAACTTATTATTGCAACATGCTTCTTATCTTGTAAAAATGATGTTTTTAATGTTTGCTTATTTCTGTTAATCACTCTATAAGAGCATATAAATAATTATCATACTTTTCACTCGCATAACTTCCAAAATAAAATTAATACCAATTTATAAATATGTTAAAATGAAATAAGCAAAAGAATATTAGCAAATGAATTTTCGAGTTTTTTTGATTTTATACTAATTAAATCTTACCTCACCGTCCACAGAATATCCAGATATAAAAGTATAAAAAGTCTATTTAAAACTTAAAAGAAAAGTTTTATGAAAAATAAGGATAAAATTCATGCAGAAAATTGCAAAGTGTGTTTGCTTGTTATTTGCACCTATGATTTTATTTTACTACCTGTGTAACCCAAAAACATCACAATTTGGCTGAAAACATTTTTTTTCTCTCTTTTTTTTTTCCTTCTTTTTATTTTTCTTATTTTTTTATTTTTTTTTTGTTATTTTTTTTTTTTATTTATTCATCATTACCTTTATCCGTCATTTGTCTATTTTATTGCCAATGAAAGACAACTTTCGCGAAAGTGAGCACGTGTCTGACCATTATTACTCTTTTTAACGATTACGTCTTTCCTTTTAACTGCAGGTTTACACTATACTTACCTCAAAATCTGCTTAGAACGCAATGTAATTTTCCAAAATACCCGATTATTATTGATAAGAGCAGATTTAAAAAATTTCCAAATATCCAATTTTATGAACAGCAAATGCGTGATAACTTATTTAACACGTAAGAGTGACTTTTTAATGAAAAATAAAATTTTTTATGCATCGAGAATTTATGTAATTATTTACAGATGAAAAAAAAATTTACCACAAAACTGAAAATGACATGACGTTGAAAAACATTTTGTTAAACCATTTATAACTTATAAATTGACGATTTGTTATGTAATTATTATACAAAATGTATGGAATGCCTAGAATTCAATTTTAATATAACTTAGCAAAAGTTAAAAAAAGGAAATCAACATCACCTAAGAGTCGCTATTGACATCATTGAAATAGCACATACATACCGAAGACTGTTTCTTCCACATTTCAATATTCTTTCGCTGAGCCTTGGTGAAGTGATCCCAAACCTTCTTGTGGCTGGCAGCAGTAAATACCCGTTCGATCTGACTGACTGTTGATGGACACAGGTGTCGCATGTTGCATACAAAAACACAACAAATCCCTGTTGTATACCCTGATTTCATTGCTTCTCTTATGATTTTATGATCTCATAAAAATAATTTTTTTGTTACATTCTGCTCTATCGTTCTTTCTCTCTCCCGCCGTCATTACATTATTAAAAATGTCCATCTAAATATCTATTTTTCTATCATTTTTAACTTTTTGAATTTATTATTTTTTCAATTATCCATTAAATTAGAATACTTTGACATCAACAGCCGCATTCAAGAGATATTTTAGCATCTAATAAAACAAAATTTTGACAAAAAAATTACTTCCAGACAAAAATTAAAAAACCTTCCCTTTTTTAATGTAAATAAATACTTTATGTGACAGTTAATCCTCTAATTGCGCATCCTACAAACAAATTTTAACTGAATATACGTGTGAATAAACAATAAATTTCACCATTGAATAAGCGGAACTCTACATGTTCAATTATTAAAATTTATATTATAGTTTCAGAAAAATTTGTTAGCAGAAACCTCTCATTCTTGACTTTGACAATATTATCCAAACACCATTTATGTTAATCTTATCATTAGAAACATGCAATTGACTGTACTTTTTGAATAAACTCTTTCCTCTTAATTATAAGTATAGTAGTACATTTTTATAAATAATTTCCAATGGGCCTCGAGTACTAGTGTCATAAAATTAAAGTCAGCATTCTTCACCCACCTTTTTTCTCCAAATCCTCACAGTCGTCAATTTCAACAGAGCTTTTTAAAGCTTTAAAATAGGAGGCAGCAAAACGAATTACTTTGTATTACGGAAATCTTTTTTTGATAAAGTATACATCGTAGAAAAATACAAGTTATTAAAGGATATTTAGTATTAAGAAATTGAATGTTTTTTTTTTTTTTTTGTAAGCAAGCTTTGTAAAATTTATAATACACTATTGCCGGTATACTTTCGCAAAAGATGTCGTAACGTACTTATCTATAAATTTATCTTATAATTAAAATTCGTATTATTAATATTGCAAAAGTGGAAACCTATAAGAAAAATGCTGCCTCGATACGCTTGTTCAAATATTGATGCAGCATTACGTAATAATTCCTAACGCAATATGCAATAAATAGTATTGAATGTTTTTTGATTTGACAAAGAATTTGATTGAAACCTGCGAAAGGTTTCACTTACCAAAACAAGCAATAGAACAGTATGCTTATTAACACCATAATGAATTCAAGAGTATGGCTATACCAATATTCTTAAAGACAATTTTTCTTAACTCACACTGAATGAGCAATCCCTGCATTCTGCCTTTCAGTAGTTCTTTAGCTTTTTGAAGCTCATCTTCGTACGCTGCTTTCTCGGTCAATAATCGGCGCACGTGGGAATTTGTCGACTGTATCATCGAATAAAACGTATTGGCATTTCGCTTTGTACAATCCCCGCGTTCTAACCACGTCACGACGATCTACATCCATTTTACAAAATTATTCCTTTTTAATATCGTCACATTACAATTTTTATTTGCAATTGAAGTGACTTTATTTACTTTCAAATTAATGGCAAAATAATTAAAATATCGATGTTATCTTTACTCACTTGTACAGCTTTCATGAATGTGTCATCTTGTTTTATCTTTTCGCATATATTTGATGCTTCGTGATCGGTATAATGTACCACCGGTGGTGGACTAGATGGTGGCCTTTGTCTCTCTTTTTCAACTCGTTCCCTATGTCTCTGCTCCCTTTGAAGCTGTCGCTGTCTGCATTCCCACTCATACTGATCGTCTCTTGCCTTCCAAACACAGCCATTATTTTATGTAGAAAGATATTTAATTACCAATGCAATGAAATTTATTAAAAAGTTCTGTCTACCTGAGCAAAATCCACATGCAATCTGCCAGTGTTGGATGAATCGCCGTTCGAGCCAATGCGTACTCTGTAACCAGATAGATAAATAGCCGCGTCGACGCTACCTTCCAGAACAAAACGAATGTGACAGAAATTCTTTTTTGAAAGTCTTAATGTTGTTATTTCACCACAGCCCTCAAATATCTCTTGAATAATCGCTTCTGTAATATTTTCTGGCAATCCTATAAAATATATTAGCACGGTTACATAATACTTGACGTACGAGTAACAAAATTTTTAATGAAAATGCCCCCTGTATCGGAGAATTTTATTGCAATTTAGATGTAATAAGTAAATTTTACCCCCAACGAATATAGTTCTGCATCCTGGAGGCCTTTCTCTCGTTGTCGGAGGTGGAGCATTAGGATTTGGTGGAAATAAGGTGCAACTTTTACAATGAATAATTTCTTTAGCGCTCTGCGTTGCCGAGGGAGGTAACGTTCCACCAATTATTTGACTAGCAGCTTCACTCATAATTTGTTCTGGACCCAACATCGGTGCACCCATCATAGCGCTTTCATGCGAGATCATACCCATTCCCATGGGTCCGTAACCATGAGCGTGACCTATGTGAGGACCGAGGGGCATTTCGCTCATTAGAGGTCCTACAGTACCCATTGGTCCCATCCCCATTACCGGATAACCTTTAAAAATTGATTAATTATGTCATCGGCACATCTCAACTTTTCATAACGAGAAAGCACTATTTTTTCCTAACCAATGCCCACGCTCCAAACTCCCGACGATGGATCTATCGGCGGGCCAAGCCCTGGATTATTATTTGTTGATGAATTGGATGTCGAAGCGACTTGATTATTATTACTGTTATGACTATTATTTGACGTAGAAATTACATTCTCACGATCGTTAGATCTTCTATCGTCTCTACGATCCCGATCGTTCCTTTCGTCTCTTCGATCTCTTTCCCGCTCTCTTCTATCCCGATCTCCTCTTGATTTGTAAATAAAACTACAATTAATATTTTCGTTTAATTTAAGCGCTGTAAAATAATATAAATACATGATAGAAAATTTCGTTACGTCTACCTCCTTCCAGCATCTCTAGAATCCCTGCTTTCGCGATCTCGTCTACAGTCATTTTTCTCGTTTCTCCTATCGTTGTCCTCCGAGGTGTCTCGAATAGCGGATGACTGATTCTTATGAGTACTGAATTCGAGCGGAGTGTCGTTCATTCCAGGCATAGGTATAGGCGGCGGTAGAGGAGGAAATCCTTGGCTCGCTAAATCCATAAAGCTCTGTGCTCCCGGAATTGGAGTGAGAGGTCCTATTGGCCCCATACCTATTCGTCATTTTAAAAACAAGACTCAGAACTTTAAAGTGATAAGCTCGAGCCAAGTGGCTCAATAATAATATTATTGAGAATAGTTGAAAAAGGTGTGTGCACCCTCGCGCATAACTAACAGTCTCAAATATTCATAAAAAGAGCTTTTCATTAATAAGTCTTACCCATGGCAGGCATCGCGGCTGCTGGCATTCCCGGAAAATTGTAGGCCATTTTCGCTAATGCAAACCTACAACTTTCCGGCTTTACTTCAGACTATTATCTGTAGAATGAATGAAACAAGGACCGTTAACAATAATAATTAACTCATAATGATAATGGAGTCAAGATGACGAACGAACCTCGAGCAATGTATATCTTTTAAGAGCCACGCTTTATTTCTCATTCGCACTTGTATTACATTTACTACGTACTAAGTATTACGTTGAGCGGCAGGTTTGGGGCGTTGGGCTGACGCTTCGTTCGGCTTCAGTGTTTCGATCAGCGAAATTACGTAGTGAAGCCATTGGTCGTATGCGCAACGATGGTCCAAGCTTATTGGCTCTTACAAATGTGGGCAATTGCATTGCCAAGTCTCCGAGGTGATAGAACAAATGCCAATAATAGCGATATATTTCGCATCTTCCATAAATATTTATTATCTTTGTCATTTAATTTATCGACCAATTATGCTCGTTCATGATTCCGAATGCGTGTATAAAATTATGAATTATTGTAGGTAGAGCATGTGAGAAGTTTAGGACTCCGAGCTAATTATTATGTTATGTAAAATGAAAGAAAGACATTTATTTGTGAGAATGGCTGGCTAAACAGAATATAATTGAATTTCTGTGCGCTTAAATATGCACACCTATCGATGGATTTCGTTTTGTCCGTAGGGAAGAACAAACTTAAAAAATTATCTATTCCCTCATCGAGTTATACAATTTGAGTCAAGTAGTTTTTTCAAACGCATATCTTCAGAGAATATTAGCCAATATTTTTAATTGTTATTAAAAATAACCTATTAAATATTTAAATAAATTATATTATAAATTTCTTAATATATCGAGAGTATTTATGTTACTAGAAGTTTGGCAAGTGTGAAAACGAATTTTTCTTTTATTAAATAAATGTGATTCTGTTGATCTTCTGTGATCTAATTTTGTTAATTGCTTTATTTAATCAGTATCAATTAAAATTGTTGTATCGTTGCAAACGCGCTTGCGCGCGCTTCCACCCAAACCCTCGCCCGCATTAATAATGCAGGTTTGGGTATATATAGGGGTAGTTATATATACGTGTGTGTGCATATGTAGTTGTTTTTTTTTTCAATTTTTTTTTCTTTAATTATTTATTCATATAAATGCATGTAAAAAGCAGCTAACATTTTATATCGCCAACCAATACATATGTCAGCCATTGCACATGTGACATACGAATTTCTATTTTATCAATCTCTAGTTTTCGTAGGGTGCCGTTGCCACTACCAGAAAGGTATATGATGCTTACCCACCCCTTCCGCCCCCTTTTTTTCTTTTGCGCACGCAAAGCAAATTTAAGATGCATACTCGCAATATGAAAATTTATATTTCTATTTATAAAAAAAAAAAAAAAAAAAAAAAATGCTATGAATTCGTGTTAACGAAAATGAACAAATGAATAATTAATAATTAATATTAATAGTGCGTGTTTGGTCGTAAAAATATATTTTAACCGATCGGCACTCCCGCTCACATTGCCAAGAGTATTAGACATTAAAAAAAAAATGAAAAAGATAATGAAAAAACTACTTTAACCATGATTTTATGCCGTATGTTCATAAAGGTTATAATGCTCGAAAGATGTGCATCAATGGCTCTGCTTAATTTAATAAACATTGTATTAGGATTCCGTATATATCATTATCCTCGTAATTTTTAACTTCTATTTTTCTTTATAATATAAAAATGTTTGAGCATTGTTCCTGGTTTATCAATAGAATTAATTAGCTTAGACAGTTATAATAAATTTTCAAAATAATAATAGCTAATGTAATAAAGCAAGCCGGATTAATTATTCGAGACATCATTTGTTTCGTATCTAGTCGTCTTCTTATGATAATAGTTATATTCGTGGTAATTTTTACCTCTGTATTTAAAGAATTTGACACATAGCTCTGGTTCTAACTGCATTTCAAGCTTCCTGAAAATGTTCGGCAAAATCCTCTTTTTCTTAATTCACTTTCTAATTTTTGTTTTTAAATTGTCCTCTAAACTATGTACGTGAGATAAGTAGGAGAGAGGCTCGGCACATATACTCCCTTCGTTAATTCATTCAATGTTATATTTCAATAATTTAACGGCACGACAATATTAAATTCATTGCGCATGCGACAATCACATTTATTTTTATTTGGCACTTTCATTGGCAAATTAACCAAGACCCGCGCCTATTGTAAAAACCTTCGTTATTCTATTAATTAAGTACATTGTTATTATTTTTCTCTAAATTCCTTCATTCTCTAATAATTAAATTAATATAATAAATAAAAATTACGGATAATGTTAAAAGATCGGAGAAAAATAAAGAAAAGTTTATAGTTACATTGGTACAACAATCGAGCCATGTATTTCTGGCTCTCTTCAATTGTTTGGTGAAAGTCATTTCTTAATCCACTGTGAACTTTAATCAAGCATTCATCAAAGACGTCGTTAACATTTTATTTATACATATATATTTATACATGCATATGTATATGCAATGTTTATATATGCATGTGCATATGTATAGTATTGAGGTACAATATTATCATAGTGTTTTTTGTTATTCGGACAATTTTTGGTGATTATTTTAAATATCTTTTAAGGTAATGTAAATTTACTTGCTTAAGCAAGTAAAAATATTTGTTAAATATATCATTATGAAGAAATTGAAAAATAAAATTGATTCAAAGATATGGACCAATTTAAACTACTTTACACTATAACGAAAACAATCTTATTTCTATGGGCAAAAACAAAAACAAAAAAAAAACAAAAAAAAAAACAAAAAAAAAACAAAAAAAAAACAAAAAAAAAAGAAAAAAAAAAAAGAAAAAACCTAGTCTAATCTAAGTAAACTAAGGAATAGCAATCGCGAAAATCTCAAATATTCAATTGCCATTATCATCAATATATTTAATGTATTTAAGAATTCAATTTATATAGGAAATTGATTTTTAATCGAATTGAGAAAGTTTTATTAAACATATTAGATGCAAATATATGTAAAGCAATACATTTAATTTATTTTAAAATATGAAATTCTTCGATCAAGATCCTTAAAAAGTATATATAAAATACTAAGCTCTGCAAAAGTTTTATGTACAAAAAATTTTTTTCCTTATTCAACCATTAATAAATTATGTACGACATACGGTCAAATTGATATTAATGTCTTCTCGATTTCCTTCACTATTTAATAACAGTCGAATTATATAACAATGAAGCCACTTTACCGTATCAACACTTGATCATTGAATTTTGTTTATAGTTAATTTTAGTATGCGTCATCCATACACATGCGAAACAGTTTCGTACATAAGCCACTATTTCATAATGGTCGTAGTTCATTCGTTTTTTTAATCTTGACCGATGAACTTTCGTTTTATCTGTGTTTACTATTGTGAGATTATAGTTTCCACTTTTGATTAGTATAATGAATCAATAAATAGTCAGTTATTCATTTACAGTTTTATGATTTGAATAAGTATATCAATCATTATCAATTGATATCAGCACAAATGATTCAACGAGTGCAAAGATTAGATTAAATTATGATTTTAGAAGAAATTTTCTTATGAATAACAGAAATTACACTTATTATAAGAAATCATAAATATCATTTTGATTCTTATTACTTACTAATTAATTAATATTTTTAATTATACTACCTAATCATCGTTGGTTTAAAAATTATATCGTTATTTTATAGAATATTAGATATAATATACGAGACTTAATTTTTACAATTGATAAGAATCAAATTTCAAGAATTATCTAGGATGTAAATATAATCTTAGTTGGAGAAAGTTTTATCTTTGTTTTGAATTAAAAGAAAATACCGACATATCAAAATTGATATTTTCATTAAAAGAAACATTGGCCGACAGTTTTAACACTCAGATAACATTTTATCTTATAAAAATTTACAGTGTTTTATTGGACCAAAATATAAAAATCAAAATAAGAAGTAAGAGCGGCAAATTTAATAAAAATAATTCCTAAGGTATGCATATATTTTTAATTTTTTCATCATCTACAATTCTAATATCTCCAAACATTATTATATATTTCTTATTATATTTTTGTTAACAGTTTATGTATTAAATTGAATTTTGTTTTCAATCTTTAAAATGAAACATGTCAAATGAAAATAAAACTTTTGGAGATATTAAAACAAAATATCTTCAGATATAGATAAATAAAAATTTAATTGTATTTACTTATAATCGTGTGATAAAATAATTGTATTTCTACAGATTGACACATTAAATTACAATGTCACTAAAATGTGAGATTTGCAAATATATTCTCCAAGATAAATATGCATATCAAAATCATCTACGAGACAAAACACATTTGAAAAATGCTGAACGACTGGAGTTCCCTGGTTTTCGTAATCAGAGATCAATTTTTGTTTCAAATTATCCACGTTATATGTTTCCAGAAAAGCTTCTAGATTTTTTTTCACAGTTTGATCAAATTGTAAGCTATCGAAGGGGTCATAATTACTTGATTATTGAATTTAGAAGAATGTAAGATTCATTCGAGCTTCGTTGAATTTATGATGAAAAAAAAAAATTTTTCTTTTATATTTAATAATCTTATTCTTTTTATAGACAAACTGTAAACTATCTATTGACGGAATCAATATACTTTAATGGTATCAAATTAAATATTATTCCTAAAATTAATAATATCGAAGGTTTGTAAATTAATTATTCCCCTAAATTTATTATCACTTAGTGAAAATAATTTATTTAACATATTATTGTAGTTTTAACATTAAATGATAAAATTAATGCTACGAAAGAGGCTGTCAATGATACAGAATATTTAAATTATAAAAATATAAAATCACTTTTTAATGTACAATCAACATTCGACGAACAACTTTCAGCTTTTCTAGATAAAATTTCATTACCTATTTCTGAAATCAAAACACGCTACGAGCCTATATGTGAAGCATTAGACAAAATTTTTCACACTGTTTTTCCAAATTGTAAGACGCACAGATTTGGATCTACTGTGTCTAATTTAGGATTTAAAAATTGTGATTTGGATCTGTTCTTGGAAATTGGTAATATATATATATATTACTTATCTTACAAAAATATGAACGTTTTAATACTATTATTTTGTTTAATTTTCCATTTTTTTTTCTTTTTTTTTTCTTCTTGATTTGCTTTCCAGTGAACGAAGAGATTGGTGAAAATGTAGGATCTAACGTATCGGCAACAAAAATATTTTCAAAAGTCAAAAAAATTCTTTTTACAAATCCAACTATATTTCATAAAGTGTCGCCAATTCCTAAAGCAAGAATTCCAATAATTAAGTTTATATACATACCAAAAAATATATCATGTGATATCTCTTTTAAAAATAGTTTAGCTATTTATAATAGCCGATTAATAAAGTTTTATTTCAGTATGAATCCATATTTGAGACCTACGATGATGATTTTAAAATACTGGGTTCGTTACTGCGAACTGAAAAAATATAACACATTTTCAAATTACGCACTAACTCTATTATTCATTTTTTATCTTCAACAATCATCTGCAAACCTTATACCTCCTGTAATAGAATTAAAAAAAAAATGTGTTCCTATAGTTGTTGAAGGCTGGCAAGTCAATTTTGATGAAACATATACAAATAAACAAAATAATAATACGAAGCACATAAGTATACCAGAATTGTTGAATGGATTTTTCAAATTCTATGCACATTTTAATTTTGAAAAAAATGTCGTTTGTTGCATCGATGGCTTATCGCACGAGAAATTATTATTAAGCGAACCAGAAAATTTGCCAGAATGTATGGATAGATACAAAATATATTTAAAGACAAAAAATTCAATAAAATTAGCAGTAACAAAGCCAATGTGCGTACAGGATCCAAATGAATTGAACCACAATATTACTGGGAATATGACTGTACAATATATTCATATTTTTCAAAAATATTGTTTGACAGCAAGTGAAATTTGTGAAAATGCAAACAATAATTATTCAAAATTACTTCCATCAATGTTTTCATTAATTCTCAATGTGATGAAGAAAAACATAGGTTTTTATGTTTGTATTTCCTTTGATTTATTAGATGTGAAGAATCACAGAGACATTAAATTCCATTTTAATATGGTGGAACAAGCGTTCAAAAAAGAAAACTGTCTGAGTATAATATTCAATTTAATACGAATATATTTTGAAAATGTTCTTAAGCTTGAAGTTCAAATTACAAGCGAAAATGACGAAATAAATCAACAAGAAACTAACAAACAATCAGATGATCATTCGAAAAGTAAAATTACAATGCACTGTACAGGAAAATATGCTTTATGGAGAAATCGCAAAAACAATATTTTTTATCCAAGTATGACTTTACTTGAAAAGGAGATTATAATTACGAATAATATATTTGAAAATTTATATTCCAAAGACTCACCACCTAGAGTAGACATTAATTTCGAATGCCATGTTATAAAGAAAAAAACGAATTCAATTTATGTTCATCTAGTATTAACTAAAAATGATTGTACAAAACCAATATTAATCGGTATGATCAATTATATAAATAATAAATTACCATTTATTTTATATAAGACATTACATTACATACAGGAATCGATTAAATAGTTTTCATTAATTTTTTTGAAAATATATTTAACGATAATGAAAGTAAATTTTAAGGCTAATAACAAAAAATGTTTATATACAACATATATGTTATATGTAAATAATTTTGCTTGATATTTTTAATTTAAAATAAATTAGAATTGATAAAAATATGCTCAGTATATATTTAAAATTTTATTATAATGTGATCTGTACTTGCCAATTTTTCTTCAACAATTTAATTTATGTAAAATGTCATTTGTGCTGATGAAGCTATTTAAGGTACTAGTCAAGTAATACAGAGTATGTAAGATAAATGAATTGGATATAGAAAGTAATGCACTTGCATTGGATAATATTGTTAAATTTTTTTAATATCTTTCCTATTATATTTATTACAAATGTATCTTATTTCGAAAGGAAATTTTTTTTTAAATTTAAACATTGTTTTGTTCTGCGATGGTTTTATAAGACAAAGCGTTTCTCCGTAAATAATTGTAGAGATGAATTTATGATTTATCTGTACAAATAAAATTATATTTATCCATATCCACAAATAAAACAATTTTTTTGGATATGCCATATTACCGGGACTCGTATTAGCATTTGTAATACATATTTTATCTTCATTATCTTGAATGTTTTTGCGCTCGAAAATTGGATCGACCTTTCATTATATACTTTTTATTAAAAGAATTTTAGATGCGTTAGTGGCGCGCTTGAAATAGTTGTGAAGACCAATAAAACAACCAATTTGTATACAAACTTTTATTATAAACGTTTCTTCAATGCTTAAAAGTCTTTAAAGAATAATAAAATTCTTATTCTTACGCACTTAATATGCATTTGAACAAAATTCTATATTTATGATTTCTCTTGTATTCAGGGCATTATATTAATAATTTATTAATAATATAAAATTATTATCACATTTTTGTAGTATATAAAATATATTAGATGAGATGTGGGGAGAGGAAAATTATTATCTACATAAATTTGTATGAAAAGTATGAAATTTTTACGAACATTTTATATGCAACTACACTTGCCACAAGCGCGTTTAATTGAATAATTTGAGGCCACTAATTAAAGAATAAATTATGAAAATTTTTTTTAATTTATACATATCAAGCACGCGCATTAAGTATATTACGTTTATTATAATTAATTAAATTTAAATTATTATCTTGTTTTATTTTCTGCGTAACTATATTTGTTTTATTACTTTTAAATTTATGTATAAATTTTATATAAAGATTTCGTTTGAAAGCGAACTTATTGTAAAAAATTTTATCGTGTAAGTTTATTAACCGAATGTCCTTTATGTAATTCCTAGCTTTATCAACATATAGTTAAATGAAAGTTAACATATAAATTAATTGTTTAATATAATTCATTAATTTCTTTGAGGTAATGTAGATACTATTAAAACTATTAAAAATTTTACAGTTTCGATTTTTTAATTTAGTTCTTATTTTATAGCATGAATATTTAATATTAATTAATTCATTATAAATCAATATTAATAATTTTTTATTCGATAAATTTTAATAAGTAATGCTATGTCCTAATATTATTAATAATTTATGAATTTAAAGAAATATTTGAGATATTAAAGAAAAAAAGTTTGTGTCGCATTCTTTATTATATTATAATTAATGCCTTTTCTTTCTTTTACATTCTTCATTCATTATTATCTGACTTATTTTTTGCATATGAATGGATCATCGTCTGATTTCGTCTATAATATTTTAATCTCTGAAGCATAAGAGCTTAATTGTATTGGATATTATGATATTTGTATAAATTATATATAAATTATGATTAAATACTAAAACTTTAAACATTGAATCGGAACCTAATTATTGAAATTTATAAAATAAACTGTCGTTAGAGAGAAGATAAAAATAGTATCAACGAGAATTATAAATCAACGTAATTGTTAAAAAATTCGGTATCTTAATGTGATTAGAATATATGGACACGCGCACGCACACGCACACACACACACACACACACACACATATATATATATATATATATATATATAATTTTTTAATGTGAAATTTACTGAGCACTTGTCAAATAAAGCAAAGTAATTAATAAAAACGCGAGGAATAAAGTGTTATTTGAGAGCCTGAATAACAAACATTATAAATTTCTTTCCAATTTTCAAAATAAATGTATTTACTTAACGTTTGTACGATACGAGGGTCAGGCAACTAACTGTTGCTGATGATTAGTTGCCAAAATGTTGTATTGCTCAACGCTTTCTTTCGAATCATTACACCCCTCTTTCATTTAGAATAACGAAATATTCAATTCTCCATATAATCAATATATTGCTATGAATAAACTTACATAATTTTAATATAAAAAATACAATATAGATAATTATGACCTTTACAACAATTCGTCTAAATGCCTAAATTTGTGATTTTGCGTATGTAAAGCGTATGTAATATGTGATGTTGCGTTCTAAATTATTTATAACTTATTTTTTTAGCAAGCACAGCATAAAATGCAGGAAGAAGAACCTTAAAGTGCTTAATGTCGGATGAAAAATGCAACAAATTAGCTATTTAAAATGTGCTTTAGAATATTCGCAAAGTTCGAAAATATGAGAACACTCAAATATGCGAGTTTTCATATTTGAGTATTCATAGTATTGATAGGACAAATTGGCTTGATGTAAATAAACTAATTAGAGGACATGCTTTCATGTATTACATTAGCAGCTTTCCATAAATTTAATAATAATTTAATAATTTAATATACAAACCATAAAAACGAATGCTACAGTTCTCGAGAATATCGTAATTATTTATGGTGATAAATTACAAAATTGTTATTAGATAATTAACAAAAATCTAAATAATTGTGAACGGTAATTCAAAATAATACTACATTAACGAAGGTGAAAATAATCCTCATCCGAATCATAAAAGAATTTGGGCGACATATTATCAAAGAGCTCGATTTTATCGATTCAGCTAACGACGAGAACATGCACAGTTTAGCAGTTCGCGATATCTTATTCCTTGTTAATAATTACATTAAATTTAATTAAATAAAATAAAATTAAATAAAAGGTTAACTATACGGTCATTATCGTTTGCAATATGAGCTTAGACAGTTCGGATGAACGAGCTATTATAGTAAAATTGCCATGCCTATATTGCAAATGTCCTATTAGACTTTTTGATAAAAGCAAGTGATTTGTTATCAATTCAAGGAACAAATGATTATCGATACTTTACGTCATCTTGGCACTATAAAAATGAATCTTATAGGTTTTCCTCGTACGATTACCAATTGCAATATACAGTGTAATCGTAATTTTATTATGACAACAAAAACATGATGACATGATTGTAGATATTTGTGTTATTATAATTCCTTAATAATTCATTAAAAATTATTTGAATTCGTGTAATAAGTTTAACATTAACAAGCTAATGAATGGTTAATTTCCTCATCTAGAAATATTACATATAACGTTTATAGCCTTATTTGTGATGTATTTTGTGTGTGTTCAATTACATCAATATTTTAAATAAATAACCGATTAATTGTTATTTGAACTGGTTTAACAGTGATATCGTTAATGGTTGTGCAATAAAAAAAAAAAAAAAAAAAAAAAAAAAAAAAAAAAAAAAAAAAAAAACACTTTTAAATAAGAGTTACAAAGAGATATGCGAAGAATTTTATCGATGCTACGTCTACTATCGCATTGTTTGCTTTTCTTTTTTTACTTATAATATGAAAAACTAATGATCGTCGATTCAGCGTTCAACGACATTAATAACTAGATCGCTCGTATTTTCACTGAATTACGGCCAATGTTGTCTATTTTAATTTATAATTTTATTTATAATTTATATAAAAATTTTATTCGTGAAATTATTTTTCTCTCTTACCTCGCAAATTACAAAAGAAAATTCCCGCCCTCCTCGTATGACAAATATTTCCATTATCTTACCTACAGTGGTGCACTCTAAGGCTTTAAAGAAACAAGTAGAGTCACGTGTCATTTTCGAGCTTAGACGAACTACATACTTAAGATGCATAAGGTGATTTTATAAAATGTGTAATTACGAAAAAATATCCGAATAATTTAGAGATTATTATTTTACAATGGGCTCGAAAGAAAATAGTCTTTATAGTCTTTTTGCGGAGCTTTATAAACAAGGTCAAAATGGGGAATATGAGAGAGCGTTAAAAACTGCTAACAGAAGTAAGTTTTTTAGACCCAATTGTGTTATGTATTTATTTGACATATTTTCGTAACAGTTGTCATTATTATATTTATAAAATAAATAACGTATTTATGAGAGACTATATATTTTTAAGTACTTGGGCTTGTACAAGACGATGAAGCCGCACTTCATTGTAAAATTATCAGTTTTATACAATTGTCAATGTTTAACGATGCTTTACAAATCATCAATAAATATCCAAAGTTGCTTCCGTACGTATTATTATAAAAATTTATAATAACTTCATTTATCATATTTATTGTTATATCACTATATAGTGTAGTGTAATACTCATGTAATAATTACAATACATTGCAGAAAATTGGAGTTTGAGAAAGCCTATTGTCTGTATCGTTTGAATCAAGTTTCGGATGCTTTCAGAATTATTGATAATATTCAGAATCCGTCCATGAAAGTGAAGGAACTTAAAGCTCAAATACTTTATCGCTTAGAGAAGTACGAAGATTGCTTTGCAATTTACCGCGATATTATAAAAAACACAAACGACGATTATGAAGATGAGAGAGAAACAAATCTTGCTGCTGTAATCGTTTACTTAGCATTAGAAGGCTCTGTAAGTAAAAAAATTAATACATATATATATGTGTGTGTGTGTGTGTGTGCGTGCGTACGCGTGCTTGTGTGTCTTTTGTAAGTGTATTGGCGTATCAGCTGAAAAACTTCTTATTTTTTGTAAGCGTGTATATGCTGTCGAAATAATTGTTCCAATATTTTATAAAAACATTTTTAGAAAACAGAAATTCCTTCTTTAAAAAAACATACGTACGAATTAACATATAATGACGCGTGTCATCTTATTGCAAAAAGTAATAATGGTGATAAATCTAACTTAGCGAAAGCCGAGAAAAAATTAAATTTAGCAGAAAAAATGTGCCATGATTCTTTAGAAGAAGATGGTATGACAGAGGAAGAAATAGAAGATGAACTTGGTATAATAAGAGTTCAACTTGGCTATTGTTTACAACTTCAAGGACGTGAAAAGGAAGCGCAAGCATTATATACTGCAGCTCTTAAAAAAAGGCCGGATGATATTGCTTTAGTGGCCATAGCGAGTAATAATGTTGCCACTTTAAATAAAGATCAAAATGTATTTGACAGTAAAAAACGAATGAAAAGTGCTACGCAGGATGGTTTAGAACATAAATTAACATCGAGACAGCGAAGAAGTATCGCATATAATCAATGTTTGCTAGCACTTTATACTAATCAAGTAAGCTTATGAAGTTAATATTTATTCTTCTTTTTCTTTTTCTTTTTTTTTTTATTGACAAGAAGGATTTTTATTTTAACAACTTTTTCATATTTTATTCGTATGTTTTGTACTAATCCACTTAGTTCATTAATACGACCATTACTTCTTAATTATATAATTCTAAACTTCCAAATATAGACATAATAAATGTGAAAATTAAAATCCATCGTATAAGAAATCTAATAATATAAAATTGTTGATAATGAAGAAACGAGTCTAATATTATTTCTAGGGAGAGCATTGTCAATCATTGTGCAAGAAATTTATCAAGGATTATCCCGATATGATTGTAGAAGCAGTACTCGTACAATCTATTCAATTAGCAAGAGAAGGAAAAGCTAAAGAAGCCGTAAAATTGCTTGACGAGTACGCTCATGCCGATAAATATTTGCCAATAAAATTAGATTGTATACAGTTGCTTTTAAGCAATGGTGAAAGAGAAGAAGCCATAAACATATTAGAAAGTTTAACCGAAACTGAAAAATCATTACCAGGAATAGTCAGTACACTTGTTACACTTCATATGGCTAACGGAGCAAGAGATAAGGCTTCAACCGTTCTTAAAAGTGCTGTTAATTACTACAAAAAGAATAAAGTATTTTTTAATTTATCGCTTAAGATATAAAAAGTGTATGTAATTTTTCATAATTGAAGATACTTTTAGGAAAGCACGGGTAATCTTAGTAAATTATGGCGTCAAGCGGCAGATTTTCATTTACGTGGCGGTGAAGTTAGCGTTGCTGCTGCAAGCTTAGAAGAACTTTTAGCCGCTTCGCCTTCTGACACAAAAACATTGGCCCAATTAATTATTGCCTATGCCCAATTCGATCCATCAAAGGCACAAAGTTTATCCAAAAGATTGCCTTCCTTACACGATTTAGCCGAATCGACGGATGCCGATGCCTTGGAAAGTAGTAATTGGGTAATCGGTATAAAAGTTGTTAAAAGAAAAGTCGAACCTTCACCAGGGTATATCAATCATTTGACAATTACAATAATTTAAATTCAACAATTGTTATAAAAATATCTATTTTTATGTATTTCTTTTGTTTTTGCAGAAAGCCCGAAGTAATGGAAAAAAAACGCAAAAAGCGCAAACATAAAGGAAAATTACCTAAAAATTATGATCCAAATGTTCAACCAGATGCAGAAAGATGGCTACCAAAACACGAACGAAGTGGATTTAGGAAAAAGAGAGATAGAAGGAATCGCGATACTGTTATGAAAGGAACTCAAGGAGCTGCAACAGGAGCTAGTGACCAATAGTAATAATAAGACATTTTGAATAAACATTATCCCTTAAATGGATAAATTTTTATTTATTAAAATGAAATTACTTGGAATTTCGTTATGTTAATTATTTAAATCTAATTTATTAATAATAAAATATCTGTTAATTTCTAGCGACATTACTAAAATGACAAATGCTAAACCATCTCCAAATCCGCGACAAAATCCAGTAACCGAAACATCAGGACCTCGACAACAGCAGCGTAAGGTTCAGCAAAAGAAAAAGAAAAAAGGCGGTAAATGGTAATTAAAAGATGGTAAAAACCATTGGTTAAAGTGTTTTATATGTAAACAAATCGTACTAGCTGAATTAATCATCTGTGCTGCTGTTAAATTTGTACTTTTACAAAATACATTTATATAAATACTTATGCAGATCTGCATTCTTATAAAAATTCAAATAAATAATGCATCTTCAAACTCGGAGGTGAAATACAAAACATGTGTAATTCTGTAAAATATTTTATTATATTCCTAATCAAAATTTCTTCCTCTCATGCACAATGATATAACATCAAAATATAGGTAACACAATTCTTACATAATGACTAGAGCTGCGTTGCACAATTCACTTGGAAAGGCATTTTCAATTAATAGATAATCAATCACACTTATGTACAAAAATATACTTTTTGCCTCATAATGTATTTTTCATTACAAGTTTCTCAATAACTCTGGATTTATAATGAAAATAAGCAAGTTTATAAGTGACTTGTTCCCTTTCGTCATCGAAATTGTGCATAATAATCACAGTTTTAAATTTGTTAAATAACATTGTATATAAGATTTTTAATTGATTAGTATTTAGAATTAATTACAAAATTGTAGTAAATCTATCATTGACGATAACAATAGATAATTTTTAATATATTTTATTGTCTATCATGACGATAACATGATGTTAAACTTGGTGAAAATGTAGGTCTCGTTAAAAAAAATAAAATTAACCAAAGCAATATCGTTAAATTGTAAAAATAACTTTTTAATTTATTTTTGTAATGATATGTATTATTATTGAGTGCACACTATTTTATATGTTTTAATATTTTATGTATTAGTTGAATCAAATAAATAAATATTTATAAAATAATAAGTTCCGGGCGTCAAAATATTATTATCAAATATTTCTCAACCCTTCGGTACAAGGCACATACACTTGCATTAGAATAAAATGCAACATGATATTGACAACTATTTTTTGTATAGGAAATTTTTATGATGTTGTCTTTTCTGTAATTATGCCTTCCCAAACATCTTCGCGCTGCTTATTAGCTAGTCTCCTTTTTTCTAAAATAAATAAAAATAGTTTGTCAATGGGAAGATAAATAAGATAAATATCGGCAAACATTACCTTTGGCTTCACGTAATACAATTTTTTCCTGCTCACGTTCCTGTCTTGCTGTTGCAAGCTTAACACCAAGTGATTTTGTAACTAGACGTCGCGCAAGTGCAGCGCAAGTTTCTGGACGACTTCTATAGGGTTGAAGAAATTCCGAGCTCCTTCGAGCTTTTGTTTTACTCAATGCGGTAGCTTCGCTCAGCGGTCGTGTTTTCACAAAAGGATGATCCGAGGCCAATACTTCAGCAGCTGGACATAATTAACAATTTACTTTAAAGGATAATTAAACATTCAGAGCTACAAAATATTTTTCGCTTATACTTAATTTATAGATATTACATTAGCATACGTTTATTTCAATAATAATTATTATTAAGACAATAAAGGCCAGACATAAATATTTATTCATTAGCAGCCATTTACATTCGACTATTAATTAAATATTTTACATGTGTTATTTTATGATTTTCGTTACTCTTTAATTATTTAATGCACTCAATGGATTTTAGGATATTTATTATCTATCGTTGGCTTTTTAAATTATGTAGTAGAAAAAAATAATGATATTATATCATATTAATAATATATTAGATATAATTATTATACAATGAGAAAATTTGCTAACACGCTATATAAAATATAGAAAATTAAAGATTATTTTTAAGGTATTTCATGCGAATTTATTGAATAAAATTATCATTTTTTTTTTTTTTTTTTTTTTTTTTTTTTTTTTTGCTATATATACATTGCATATAATAACTGCAAATACTAACTTCACACATAAACTATGACTACGTTTTTTAAAACAAATAATTTTAATTCCAAATCAATTACATTCACGAATTATGTTATTAAGTAATAACTTTTCTTACGGTCGATTTAAATTTGATTATATTAAAACTTCAATCATTCAAATAAATCTTTAGTGATGCTTATCCTACTTTATCCAAACAGAGTATAACATATAAAACAAAGTATAACATATAATTCGGATTTTCTGTATGAAATTAAATATAAAGATGTAATATTAATGAATCTAAAGGTGTAAATGTAATGTAATAAATTGAAATATTTATAAAAGAATTTATGTTTTATAATACCTACCGACAAGAGGACTACTAAAAACTCCAAGACAATGAGTGTCGTCTACCCATTTCAGCTCAAAACCTCCATTTTTAAACGAACTAAATACAGCAGCTAAATCACTTGATTTAAATTCAGATGGAAAATTGTAAATTTCTAATACGTGAGCAAATTCATCACTCAATATTTCGGCAGAACGTGCGGAAGTTTTATAATTACATTTCGGTTTTTCTATTACTACTTCACCGACTGAAGACGTTAACTGAAACAAACAATATTCGAGATATTGGTACAACAATTTTAATAATATGTTTTATAGAAAATACGACAGTATGTATATATTAAAATGTTCATAAATTTTTTTTTAGAAATTAATCTAGGAATCGTGTTAATTGTTATTTGCACAAATATTAAGTGATACGATAGGATAATCAGTTGTATAGTCTAATTTTACTGATTTCTATACTGTTTTCTAAAGATACAAAATACGCACACAATTAATTATGAAACTTACTTCCTCGATTAACGTAGGATCAAGACAATCGCCGTTATCATCGAATAAACTGTCCCAATCACATTCATCGCGATTAATTTTTGACGGAGGCAAGGGCGGTGGTGCTGGTTTACTTTTTGGCCTCTCAACTTTCTTTACTTTTTTCTCCAATGATGTTACAGGGCTAACAGGCACAAATGATTTTGCACTTTCCACCTCCGCTTCGTCCGTACAAGAAGAGATTATCAATACCTCGGAAATTAACGTTTGCTTAGCTACTTTATCATCGCTACAAGGCTTATTGACACTCCAAGGACTAGGAGTCTCATTTACCTCCGATGTCATACTTTCATTATCGCAAGATATTTTCAATTTACACAGTGTGTCATTATTCCAGGAGTCAATTCTATTCTTGGAAGCACTATCAGTATCGTCATCATTAACGAATTCATTCGATATGCTTTGATCCCGCTGACAACTGAACGATTGCTGCTCGGCTTTCTTCTCCGTTTCTTCATTTTCTTGTAATTCCTCCATTACCGAAAGTTCTGATTCCACGGCAACTTCTGATGTTATTTCTTTCATTTTACTAATCGCGGAATGAGCGGTTGCGAATGATTGTTTATCGAACTCTTCGTCCGATACTTTTTCAAGCGTCTGATCGATCATAATCGTTGAAATTTCCTTCGACTCCTTAGATGATAGTTGGTGATTTGCATCTTTTTCAATTGAAGAAGTCAAATTAACACTTGATGATTCTGTTGGATGTTTAAATTGATCTTCCTGTACAGTTACATTGACACTTTCGATTTCGGGAACGCTGCGTCGGTGCCTTGGTACGTAAACTGCACGATCCGGTCGTTTTCGACGATTCGCTCTATTGGTTAAAATAATTTATTAATTAAATACAAAAATAAATAAATACTTATATCGTGACCCCATATGCAGTCTCAATTAAGTAACAATTGAGATTTAATATAAATAATTACAAAACTTCGGAATTGTAAAATATATATGCTACTATGAAAGCATAATATATCTCCTCCCCCGCCCGCCCCCTCCCACCCAAAATTAATATTTAAATTAACAAATTATATATGACAACATAGTCATTTAAATTATTTTTTCAATAATAATTATCTCACAAAATATCAATTTAAAAAAAAAAAAAAAAAATCCATTGCTTCTTATTAAACGAATTTTGTAAAAATTTTTGGACGAAAAATTGGTGAAATATATAAACTTATATATAAATATATTGATTTATGTTAATAATTAATTACTTTGTAGAAACATCCGAAATTGTTTGTTCGATTGATAATGGCCCCGCTGGAGATGTTTCCAATCTAGCTCGTCTTGCTGCAGGGGGTCGGTATATTTCAACTGTAGGAACTGATTTTACTGAAAATATTGAATATTTTATTTAAAATTGATAAATTCTTTAGCTTAATTTTTTTATTTTATCTATTTATTTTATTTATTTATTTTTGTTGTTGTTGTTGTTGTAAAAGAATTTTATATTTATATAAGAATATTAAAATCACTCAAATAAAATTAATAATACAAATCCATAATATATAGAAAAAAGAAAATTCACAATAATGAAAATGTAATTTCATTTTCATTTTTAATAAATTTGATTTACTCGTTATTTACAAATTGTACACCACATATGAAATTATTCATTTTAAATTCAATCGAATATTATTTTTTTTTTTTTCAAATTCGTTTATTGGATAGAACGTATGGATATATATTTATATATCACATAAAATTTTCTCGTCAAATATAAACTAAGAACATAAGGTTTTTTTTCTTTTTTTAACCTATGTCACTACGACTATAAATTTGTACGCTAATTACCATTTCTTATTTTGTGAACATTATGCTCGGGTGATGCAGTTGGTGTACATTGCCTTTCTATTCCCATCATGTATGTCGAATTTTCCTTGAAATTGACACTTGCTTGCGAAAAATGACCATTGATTTGAGGTAGTCTAAATTATAAGGATTATTACAATTAAGGATTATTACGAATATTATTACGATACTATATTTATTTGAATAAGCTTTGTAAGAAAGTTTTATTAGAAATCAATAACGACGAGATAAGAGCACGTATACATTAAATTTGAAAATTAAATTAAATCAATATTTAAGTAAAGATATAATGATATAAAATATAAAAATAGTAAACGTTTAAGTGTGAACGATAAGAGTTGCATATAAACTAAATGAATATTCCAACTGGATTTAATTTAAAATGAGAAATTAGTGTACAAAGTACACAGGCAATTATACTTTATAAAGTCCGATTTGAAGCAGATGACAGTTCTTCTGGCAATACCCTGACCGATAGAGAATGTCTGCAGCAAATCGCCAAAGTGGTCTTGCACCAATTGGTGGATGAGAAATCGCCTGTAGCTGTTAACCGGTGGAAAAACAAGTACTCTGAAAATACATAATGGTCCATTGTTATCCAGCTTTTCTTTATGTTTATGGTATTATTTAGTTCTCGTTTACACTCTCGTGGCATTTAATTATAAAAAAGAATTATTACAAATTTTTTAATCCATTAAATATTATTTTATTAATTTTAATTATACGTTCATCGATCTAAATGAGATATTAGCTTATGTATTTACTTAATTAATATTTAAATTAATTTTATGTACACGCGCGCGCGCGCACACACGCGCATACACACACACACACACGCACGCACACGCACACGCACACGCACGCACACACACACACAATACATATACATATATAAAGTTTAAATTACTATACTTTCTTCACTTTCATTATTTAAAAAAGGTATATGCAAATTTAAATAACAAAAGTAAAACGAATGTACCGTGTAAAACCAGTATGCGGTAATATGTACATAGGATATTAGTTTAAATGAGAAATTTCTGCTTACATAATTTCATATCTAACCTCATAATTTACATGCCAGCGTTTCATTAGAACCTGTATGTTTCATAATTAGATTTTGTGTTTTTATTTTGGAAATTACAATCATTAAAAGGAAGTAATAAACATTATTCGTTCATTTCTTACGTGTAATAGATTATAAATATTGTATAATCAAATCTGTATTTTTGATAAAGATTATATAATAAATATTATTACTTTATATCTAGAATTCTTAAAAGTGAAAGTATATTAAAATAAAACAAAAACAAAAAAACAAAAAAAAAAAAAAAAAAAAAAAATTACAAAAGAAAACATAAATTTTACTTAAATAATTATTGATGAAACTGGTTTTAATTCGGTAATATAACTCAGTAAATATTATAAACATAATTACAATAATGATTAATGCATTATAAATTTTACTAACATGCAATTAACAAAATATATTTTTATTTTTTTGAAAATAATTTATACAGAAAGAATTAAACAACAGTTTGTTTAAGCTTATTTAAAAACATACACATATACTTTTTTATCGAATTCTTTTAAATTGCCAATTATCATGTGTTAAAGTATAAAATAAATTATACCGATTGCTAAGTTTTGCTACTTTATTCAAGATTTATTTTTATCATCTATTTATTTAAATAATTATAAGTACATACTATTGTTCAAATTTATGCTACTTACTTAAGAATTATCAAAGTAATGACAAAGTAATGTTCGACAATATCTTTAAAACGGAAAAAATCGTTTAAAATTAAATTATGCTTAACACAACGCGCACTGCTAAAACAAATAATTCAATTTAATGATTTGTGTCAATATATCGAGAATGGCTTTCAGCAAAGTAATGCGAATTTTTTTCTTTTTCTTTATCCCATTATTTATCCCCATTATTACACATAATCAAACAGCCGCACGAACGCCCAAGTCCATGGAAGAATCCACGGTAAATCCTGAAAGAATTTTCTTCAATTCACTGAAAAAATAATTTGATTAAACAGCGAGATTGTATGTGCATCGATAAAAGGATTTGTCATTTTTAGAAATTATTTTTCAAATTCTGGATTAACTTTTAATTTATAAAAATAGGCTCTTCCAAAATATCTAAACAATTTCTTCTATTTACAATGAGTGGAGAAAAAAGTTTATTTTAACAAAAATTTACAAATTATACAACCAGTGACGCATACGTATAATTATATTGTTTTACATTATTTTGAAAGTTAAATGTTTGACATACAGTTTATTCTATTTACATTAATTAATACAACTAAAGGATAACGAAATTCTTTTCATTATCGTTTATATTGGGTGATACAACTTTCATTGTATCGAGACATGAAAACCCATTGCCGCGCGCCTTTCAACGAAATACACAAATATATTTTCCTAAACTATCGCTGTTTTAACATCCCATTACACGTAACAATCATCTTTTATAGCACTTGAATCATTTAAAGCATTTTGTCTTAGTATTAATCTTGATAATGAGCATGTGTGAATATCGTATAAAATTAGAACATAATAAGATTAGAAACAAAATAAAAAAAAAACAAAAAACAAAAAAAAAAAACAAAAAAAAAACAAAAACAAAACAAAACAAAAAAATAAATAAAACGACAAAAGCAAAATTAATCCAGAATTTGCAAAGCAATCTACAACAACAAACCTTTAATCAGCACAGCTCAAGGAAATCGTACTTGAGTCGACTCGTCCAGACGCGCGCGGCCTTCGGAAGGTGAATGCAATGGCCAAACTACAGATTCTCGCGGCAGTTCGACTGTAACTTTTACATAACATCGGACAGTCGAGTTACTTTCTCTTTCGGCGATCTCCCAGCACTATATTATTTTCATGTAATTCATACTTGTCGCAAATTCGATTTACACAACTTCATTGCTTATAAACGATGTTAGTATAAAAAAAAGTTAGTGTTTCCTTTTCATCTTCCTTTTCAATAAATCATCATACTAAATGCCATTCGCTATACTATTGTAAGATGGCAAAGAGTTAATGAATCAAATTGTTAAGTAATAAATGTTTTTAATAGAATGAGAAGTATATTCATGAAATTTAGTATGCTTTCGTATTTAAGTGCAGAACAAGCGTTTTAGGATAACTAACGACCTTAAATCGTCAAATATATTTCAATCGGTGACACGTTGGATCGAATCTATCTAAATGGCAATAAAAGAAATTTTAACGTAAAATATATCAAATATTACAATGCACGTGTGTAGAGCTACCAACAAAGCAGAACTAATAACTTTTTTTTTCTTCGTAACATCTTAATAAAGAGAGTTTACTAAAACATGCAAACAATATTTGCTTTTAATTTTAACAATTCAAGCTGCTTAAGTATGTCGATTAAGCAACAATGGGAACACGTACGTTTTCTCCAAATATTTGCATTTTTCTCAGTAAATTCCCCAGCTTATTTCATTTTATAATATACAAAAAATTAGTCTGATAATAAAATTTCACTAAAAATAATTTCTATTTTAACCAACGTCATACTTCTTAATTGACGATTCAATCCCATTGCACGAATAATTCAAATTTCGATAATATTTTTAAAACTACATTTAATATTGCATGTACGAATTGCTTTATTGAACATGCATTTGTGGGCGAGTTTTTTTTTTTTTTTTTTTTTTTTTTTTTTTTTTTATATAAAGTAGATATTTCAAAATTCTCGCCAGTCATTAAAAAAATTGTTCCTTTTAATTCCTAAAGAGAAAAACTTTTTACATAAAATACTAAATATAAGAGTATATTTAACCTGTACATTTAGAACATCTATCGCAGTAATATTTCATGTGATGGTGTGCTTACTAGTTAAAAAAAAAAAAAAAAAAAAAAGAAGAAATAAAATATATTTTCATATTCTCTTAAATTATTACTCTTTGAAACAGTTTTAAATAAGTTAATCGATGGCATTTTCTATGTAAAAAAAAAAATTACAAATTCTATAAAATGTTACATGTTATGAAGATATATATATATAAACGGTTTTTAAACGTGCATATAGAACTTTCAAAATGCTTAGAATCATAAAATAAATGTACAGATTTATTTGAATTTGCAAAAGTTTTAAAACAGAGTCATTTCTACAATATATTATAAAATTCTTTTTATTTATATTACTTTAAAACATGTTCATTTCTGCTGTATAATAAAATTATAATTTTAACATATTTTCAATTAAAAATTAATATATATATATTAAAGTGTATAAAAATTCAATAATTAAACTCAATTAGTATATTGTATATTTGACAAATGTTTTGTGGTAGTAGCATATATAACAATAAAAACAACAATATTTGTATCTGCTATATTAAACAAATTATTTGTTATTACATCAATAAATTTTAAACGGTAATGATTTTTTAAACACGTTTATCGTAATAAAATTTGAAACTTTTCCTTTAAATCTATTAAATCATGCGTTAATTACATTAAAACAATAATCAGCTTGTTTTATGACACACAAAAAAAATTTTGACAAAATTACAGAGAAAATTTTCAATTACAGATCATCAGTAAATACAAATCAATCAGCTCATCGACTAATTCAAGTCTTATAACGAAAACTTTAAGCAATATTATTATGACAATATACCATTATTCTTTCGATTTTTTTCGAAAATTGTGCGATTTCTCTCATTAATATAATCAATATCGAAGAAAAAGTGTCTAAACTGCAAATCATAACAGAATTTTCTAAAAGTGGTTTAGATTTACTGTTTAATATGCACTGCACATTTTCTGTTCTGTGACATGACTAAAATCATTAACGATCTATGTTTAAAAAATATACACGTGCGCTACATATGTAAATAACGAAGCTATGTTTAGAAATTGGTTAGTGGTCGTTGACATGAGAAGAATAAAAACTATTCCCATACCTCAAATTATCTATTGATATTAAATCAAATATTTAATTACACCATCGTCAACCCCATTTCAAAGACAGTATAAACGTTTATTTTATAGTATATATGAGGGTTAAGAATATCAAATTTATTAAGTAATATAATCGTCAATGATATTATGGAAGTAAATATAATAAAGTTAGCCAGTATGAAGTGATAGTGTCATAAAGTCTGAAATATCTACAAATGAAAAATGTTTTCAATAATTTCTTATAATGTTTATAATTTTACAGATCTACGCTGACATAACGATTTTATAACGATGAAATGACTATTAATATAATACTTTTTAGAGAAATATTATTGGATAAAACTATAGAAAGACAAAATAGATATAGACATGATTATAAAGAGCAACTATGCTGACATTTTATAATACAATTTTTCAAACAAATTTAATTATATATATATATATAGTTAATGCCAATGTTACAATTAATAATGGAATACTTCGACATAGATATATCGACACTTAGCATGCATTACCTCCTAATATTGTAATTAAAAAATTTATTTTAATAAATAAAAGCAGAATAGTTTTTAGCATATTTGTTAAAAAAAAACATACGCTATTTGAGTTTTAATGCAATTATATAAATAATAATATTATATTAATAAATAAGAAATTTGAATTTAAATTAAAAAGAAATCTATAGAATAATGTGTAATTATAATCCCTTAAATTATAAATCCCTTTAAAAATATAGTGTTAAACTAAATTTTATCAGTACTATTCTAATATTACGAAAGTTTAATAATTACCAATTGAGTAATAAATTATAACAAGGACATAAATATTTTATTTTATATATAGTATAAGTAATAAATGCAAATAATGATTTTCCAAACAACTGAAAACACGCTAATATTATCAAATTTGCAAACTATATTGATTTCTAAGGCATATAGTTTGTCGCCGAATGTTAAGTGTTCATACACAACTAAATTATTTATAATAATTATGAACAACAAAATTGTAATGGCTGATGCTTTTTATATATGCGCAAAAGTGCAAATAGATAAGAGTATTAAAATAATCTGATAAAATTATACTGAAAAATGAAGAATGTAAGCGATCGAGTTGTACCATAAATCAACTCATTAGATAAATACATCTCCTAATAAATGTTTCAATATATTATTGAATATTTAACTGTAAGTATTAAATAATAATATTATAAGTTTATCATTATAAGTATGACGTAATAATATAACCTCAAAAATACGACCGCAAGCAAATTTCATGTATTATTATCAAATACATTAATTTTAGTATATTACGTTGGTTTTCATAATATATTAATTTTTAATTGATGGTGCGTATACTATTTTAATGAAAGAAATATTAATGAAATTTATCCTAATAGAAAAATCAGCTAACATTTAAAAGATAAACATTGGTTTAAATTATTAAAATATTTATTTTAATTTAATATCTATTGTTATTTTATGAATTGAATATTAAGTTAGTTAATGTTCATTACCATGTGATAATATTTGAAAATATTAAATATGGTAATTAATGTTTGCAAGACAATAACGTATAAAATATATATTATTTTTTCACATAATTAAAAATTTGCGATTTGTGCATGTGCCTACTTCTTAAGAATTGACAGTTATCAGATATATCAGAATAATATGATTATTATTACTATTTCTTTATGGTATTCAACGAACAAAAATGTTAATATTTTATATAAATTCGTTATAATTTAGCTTGAAAGAAATTAAAGCAAATACAAATTTGTTTTTATAAATCATATTTTAAGTACGATCTAACAAAACGTTGAATAAAAATGGACTAAGTAATTATTAGATATTACTTTTCATGTTAGCAAGAATTAAAAAGTTTAATAATAAATTTGTAGCCTAATATCGACCAATCACGTTATCTTATTTTATTTAAATTGGACAACGTAGTTTATGTATTTACAACGTATTTTGAAACTTCAATTTAATATACTTAATCAATTTTTTCGATACTTCTATACTATCTTGTATCAATTTCATTTTTAAGAAATTTTACACGTAAGTAATAATGAATTATAAAATTTTCTAATATATAAACTTTACTGTTGTCTTTGTCTTTGAATGAAAATTTCATAGTTAAAAAGTTATATGTAATTTTTCATTTTATTTTATTATTACATATATTGATGAAATTTAAACAAACTATGTATTATCGATAATTTTTAATTTTACTGAAATCCAACGTTGGAATCGCAAACTTACAAATTTTAAATTAAAGATAATTTAAATTAAGGGTTGACCGATTATCTTATTCGCAATCTATTACTTTTTATACAATTTTAAATCATTTTTCATAGTAAAGTATAATCTTTTTCATTGTAAAAAATTTTTATTAATAAATATTTTATAAAACGTTTTATAATTATTTAATATAATTCTAATATAAATTAAAATTGTAAATAATTTTTAAAAAAATATATAAAAATTAGAATGTCTTTTTTTAGACAAATTATTTCATAAAAATTTATTTGACTTTGTCACTGTTTATTACTTCAATTTTATATTTCTATATTAAATTTATTCATTCGATAAACATTTTATTTAAAAAAAAAAAAAAAAAAAAAAAAAAAAAAAAAAATAAAAAAAAACAAAAAAAAACAACATAAATTCAATTATTGCATTATATATTACTAATTTTAACACCGCATAATTTGTATATTACTTCTATAAAATGAAAAAATATAATATAATAAGGTAGATGATATTACAAAGCTAATAATTAAATCAACTGAATCAATGCTATAATTTAATAATACATGTAGCTACTTATCTATTTACATCGAAGATTTATATAGCTATTAGCTTATTAATTAATTAATTGGATTGAAAAGAACGAGATTTAATAACGAACGTTTTTACGGTGTTATTTGTGCCATAACAATAAAAAAAATGCAAATATCACCGAGGTTATGTTCTAATGAAAAAACGTCTTTTAGTCGTAAGGGTGTATCATCAATGTAATAAATACTAAGGCCAAAATTTGGCAATTTACAATTAATTGAAAGCAAATTAACACATAACAAGATGTATATGTCATTCTTGATATGGATATGTATATGGTCCATTTCTTGTGGATGAAAAAAAAAAATTTTTTTTTATTTCTTACTTATCGTATTCTATGCTATTGAGCTCAGCTACTACTATTACCTCACATCTACATAAGAGCGTAATACAATACTTCGATCATCATTAAAAAAACATCGTAATAATATATCCCCAAGACTCTAAATTAATATATTGATAATTGCAATATAATATTATTATCAATATAATGCATGAAATTGTGATAGTGGAATTAACAATTACGAATGCGAGCATATCATACCGTCTTACCTCTTGCGTTTCTCACTCTTCAAAAAATGCCGTAGTTGCTCCTCCACGTCTTCTGTGAATAAATTGTCCTGTAGGTTCATCTATTTTCCTTTTTTTTTTTATATACAATTTAACGTAGATTAATAGAGTACATATAGTATATCACAATAAATGAATCTGGATGAGTAATTAAACATTCTTTTTATTATTCTTATGCTTGGTTAATGCTTAGAGGTACAATTGTATAAATTCACTACCATGCAGAAAAAACATTTTTGGACATGTTAGTCTTTCGGTGGTACAGCTTATACTTAAAATATAAAACGTCATACATGTTATAAGTATATCTTCGCACAACACCAGCACTCTTGTTTCTTCAATTTTTTGACAATGTAACGCGTAATACGCACACAATGCTACCTACAATGTCGCGTCCGCCTTCCTTCCACTACATCAGAAATCATCTCACTAACCCATTGTAAAGTATTCTTTTGATATATAAATGTCTATATATAAGCTACAGGGGGACACAACGCGCCAGCGAAAATTCGAAACTCTCTGCGCATGCGTCTAAGGATTACTCAATCTATCGGAATAACGAATTATGTGTATTCTATTTGAAATTTACTAGCTCAATAGCAATCAATACGAATAATGTACATATTAACTATTGTTGATAATTGCATTCATAAGTAAAATTCATTAGTAAAAAACAAAACAAAAAAAAAACAAAACAAAAAACAACAAAATTATTATCTATGTAGATTTAATTCATTGCTTTATGATTTTGTTAATATTTATTGATAATATTAAAGCTCGTACTGTACTTCGTTAAAATTTTGTTTTGCTTTATTGAGGTAAGAAAATCATTTATAATTTACGGAAATATTTCAATGTGTAATAATGGATTATCGGTGCATCATTGAACAGATATTTTATTCAATAATAAATTATAAGACATATAAATTATATTTTATAACAATAGACCTCCGTAATTTTCTATTTATTCTAACGCCCAACTCCCAACTCCCAACTCTTACAAAATAACAAGAATAAATGGAATTAAAAAAAAAAAAAAAAAAAAAAAAAAAAAAAAAAATATCATAAATACTAACCTCCCTTTACGTAATATAACGCAATTAATGTAATTTCATTAGAAGATAGCAAAAACAACTCAGATGAAACCACGTGTTTCGAAGAAAAGTGACAACGTCGCGGCGCTAGAGGATTGGTCGAGTAAAATATATTGGACCTTACCATATGCATAAGAGCTGTAAAAAAATACAATAGTGGATAAGAGCACCAGCGGCAGTTTCCCAATATCAATATGTAAATATTCCAATAGACACGTAATTCGTTTTCGAATTAGAAGAAAAAGAATTACCAATTTACAGTGAATATATTGAGTTTTCAAATTAAGTCTTAGTTGTGTATAAAGTGCCTCTTGCTGATCGATCGCATATGCTATTTCGCTTTTATAGTTTATCGGCGACATGCGTTACTTTACGTCGCTTTTATTAGTAATTTTCTATTTTACGGTTAGTGCGATTGCCATTGATTCGAACAAAAATGTCAGTGTCTTCTTACCTACAAAGGATTGGCAGACCGTAAAAAAAGGTAACCGTGTTGGCTCGTTGTAAATCCTTTTAAGTGATCATGCGGTTGCATGAGCAAACGAATGTGTATTTATAATCATATATATATTAAAACATTATAATAGATTATACAAGCACTAAATAAAATACATTGACATGGTAATCATTCGTTCTTGCATTTTTCAATTAACCATTGTCGATATTTAAATTTTTAAAAAAATACTATAAAAAGAAAAAAAAACCACCTCGTTTTTATATTATTTAAATATATTCTTAGGTACTCTAATTCCACCCGGGCTTCATGTTCGGCATAATCTTCAAACTGGAGTAACCGAAGCCAAATTGATGGATGAGAAGCAAGTGGAAAATTCAGAGGAAAAGCCATCTAAATCCGAACAAAATTCATTGACAATTCATCCGGATAAACCTTTGATAAATGAAGAAAATGATGTAAAGAAGGGAGAACAAAATGATCGAGTAAACATTAATTTTGATGAATTAAAAGGACTATTAAAAGAAATGAATTCTGGTGATACTGGCACACTTTTGCAATCAGAGGTAAGAATTAAATAATTCATAATTAAAAGAAATTAAATAATCAATTAAATTATCAATAATTCTTATAAATATAAATAAATTTAAGGTTTTGAGAATTAACTGTTTTTTTTTTTTTTTTTTTTAATTAAAATATTAAAAAATGTTTTATTATTAATTATTTTATACATTAAATATTATTCAATATATATAAACGGTTAAAATTATGTAATTAAAAATTATAATTATAATAAACAAAATTCATTGAATGTCTCATTGAAAATTTAAGCAAAGTGGTTCAACGACATTTGATTATGTAATTCTTAAGAAACTTATGTATACAGTGGATTTTTAAATCGTATTATTTGCATTTTTCAAAGGGTACATTAGAAAATTTTTTTTTTTTTTTTTTCATGAAATACAATTTAATAATAATATTGAATACCAATTTTATGAAGCTTAATGTTATACTAATAATATGTTTTGTAATTAGATAATTAATTGATAAATGTAAGAATAGTAGTTTATTTACTTGAGTAAATTTTATAAATTTTATGAAATAATTAGTCATGTACTATATTTCATTACTGTAATAAAATTAATTAATACTGTTTTAAGATATTTATAAAAATTATGTTACAGTATATTAATAAAGATCAGCCTGAAAGAAGAAAAAAATTTAAGCATTATTCTGAATTAAAAGAAGAGCTCGAAACATTAAATATGAACATTTCTACTGACTCTGAAGTACTTACTAGCTTATTTAATGAATTTGAATCTTATAAAGAGTTTATTATAACCGACAATCTTGATACAATAAAAATTCAAGATGTATTAGAAATTCTAAATAACATAGAATACCTTATTCATCAAATAGATAATGCACAAATATTTTCTGACATGGGAGGGTAAGTTTTAAAACCGTGTTTATAAGTGAATTTGCTATTTGAAATTTAAAAATGATACAAATTCCATTGCTTCTAATGCAATTTCACAAGAAAGTTTAATTTTCAAATTAATTCTATATGTGATAATGCTTAATTGTGTTAATATTCGACAATAAATAAAGTTTTTCATTCTTTCATTGCGTAAGACATAATTTCGAATGACCGACACTCCAATATGCATATATATTAATAATTCTATTCATTAATTTACCAACATTTGACATTTGAATAATTATTTTTATTTTGCAGAATGTCGAAAATTATTTCTCCATGTTTAAATTCAACAAATTCTGAAGTTAAGGCTGAAGCATTAAAACTTTTGGGTGCTGCTGTACAGTCAAATCCAAAAGTACAATTCAAAGCATTAGAAAATGACTATGTTCAAAAGCTTTTGCACATGTTATCTGTTAATAATAAAATAGAAGTGAAGTCTAGATGTTTATTTGCGCTTGGAGCTCTAGTGAGGCACTTTCCAGCAGCCCAAAAAACTCTTGTAAATAATGGAGGGTTAGAAATATTTGGAAAACTTTTAACCGATGGACATTTTCAAATTCAAATCCGAGTTATGAATTTAGTAAATGATTTGACAATTGAGCGTAAACATCTAAATGAAATAGAAGATGACAAGCAAAAACTTAAAATAAAAGAATATAATTTAACGAATTTTGAACATAAGCTTTTAATGCAAAAATATTGCCAAAATTTAGTCGATTTAATGATAAAAAGTTTAAAAATAAATTCAGAAATAGATGATTTTCATGAAATTGTTTATGAAAGTATGATCACTCTCAGTGTTATTTGTAAAAATGAATACATAGATAAGAAAGAAGTTCTTTTACGAGAAATACAAAAACTTCTAATTACATATCGGGACTCTTCAAAAATAAATGAAAATAATGTAAATCTGAATTCTTCTCAGCAGAATCTACTTGAAAAACTGCAAAATATAATTAGTAAAAGGCATGATGAATTATAACGGTACACTTCGTTTATTTTTCATTCACATTGTACATATACCATCAACGTAAATTATAACGAATAATCTTTGTTGCAAAATATATTTATAAATTTTTTTATTCCTAGTCTAATAGACTGAAAGTGATTCAACAATTTACAAACTATTGTAATGACCACACATTTATAAAATTGTTGTTTAATATTATAATAAATTATTTTATAAAAAAAAAAAAAAAAAAAAAAAAAATTTTAAAAAAAAATAATTTTATTCCACTCCTTTAAACGAAGCATTATAGAAACAAATCAGATTAATAATAATTTATTATTTTCCATATAAAATATATATATATATATATATAGTTATAAAACAAAATTATTTTTAGTATTTAAATTTTATAGTCATTAAATAGTAATTTTTTGCACAATAATAAATATATAATATTTTATAATAACATAACATTTAATAATAACATAAAATAATATGTAAGAAGAAAGGTCGATTAAATCATACAAAGGCAATATGAGACTTATGAATTAAGTTTATTTACAAAATGTGGTGGTCACAAATCGTACCAAAATGTTTTGCTTCAATTGCTGGAAAACACGAGACCTTGTTCTCTATTTGTTAAGTACAAGGCTTATAAATATGAAACCACCGACTTTATTTAATTTTAATTACAATTTTTTTTTTTTTAAATATATTAATCATAATTTGGCGTCGATTCAAACAATATTTTAGGTATGCAATGAAAAACAATAAAAACCAATAAACAATGTGGTTTTTCATTTTCTTTGATTTTCTTTAATAATAGATTATTTTTTCAACGCAGAAGGTTTCGCAAGCCTAGAATTTTCCTTATCTACAATGATTCTAGGAACTTCAATTAAAAATTGTCTGTTCCTTTTATTTTTATTTTCACTCATGAAAATGACGAACCTAATCATAAAACAAATTCATTCGTCAGTTAATTGAAATGCTGATTGTACAAAATATAATTGCTAATAAAAAAGATTTTTTTTTGTTATATTTTTTTGTAATTTTGTTTGAATAACAGTACATCAATACTGATTTATTTCAATCGCTATCTTATTGATTAAGCGATTAAGATATTGAGCTTCTGAACAAGAAGCAGCGCAATTCTATCACCGAATCACGGTTTGGTCACACGCATCTGCGTAAAAAAATAGTTACCACACAGAACATTTTGTTTTTTTAATCAAGTGAAAAATAACCATATTCTACTAGTATCGTTCAAAAATTCGCTTATTTACATAATTTTCAAATTCCTTATTTATCGATCACAGGGGAAGAAATACTTTGTTGAAAGCGAAAAAGAGTATATTGTTCGAGTCATTCACTTTGCCATAACTATTAAATTGCGAGGTTAAAAAAATATATTACAAAGTGGCTTCTACACAATTACAATTACAATTTGCTTTCTAACAAAAGTTTCTTCGTTCCAAAAGAGTATCCTGAAATTCCATTTCCAAGCAAATCTCATTTATATTCCAAAAAAACTTTCTCTTAATCGCACATAATCGTTAAAAATGCCATAACAATAATGCCAGCAAGTAAGGCGCCAATCTGTTTTAGCGATTCCCATGGATTAGTTTCTTTCAGCAATTCTGGTAAAACAGTGACCATTCCTATGTGAAGAAAACCACCCGCAGTAAAAGGAAGTATCCAACTTGTTTTTGATTCTGAAAATTTCAAATAATTCATGAATTCTATATCCTCCGCAATCGCTATATTCTATTTAAATTAAAAGTATCTTTAATACAGTGTTTTATAATTATCCCATTATCTTTTAACTGCTTAATAATAAAAACAGAATGATGACGATTAGACTTTCAGAGAAAATTTTACATAATAATTTGCTTATAAAATTACAATGCTATGTATATATTTATAAAATGTAAAAGAAATTTCATAAATATCCCCTAATGTACTTTAATGTTCTGTAATGAATTTTAAATATTTTACGAGTATTGGCAAATTAGAAAAATCAACGCAATAGCATTGCATTACCAACTGCATCTCCAGAGAAAATAACAGCAACAAATGCTCCAAACATGCCACCAGTAGCAGTTATTAACTGAGCTCTTGCAGCATCCCATCGATTGAATCCGCTTCTCAAAAGAATTGCGAAATCGCCAATTTCGTGTGGTATTTCATGTACAAGTATCGCAAAAGTTGTTAAGGCTCCAAGTCGAAACGAAACCAAAAAAGAACCTCCTATGGCTAAACCATGTGTAAAATTATCTACACTGTTAGCGACAAGATTCAAATATCCGGAAACATGTTTCGATCTGTCTGTCATTCGGTCTTTTACGTTTCTCTCGTACATTTGATCATCTACATAACAGAAAGAATAAATTAATTCATGCAAAATAGTTTATCTAGAACTTATTATTTACATGTTGTTAGAACAACTTTATATAATTCTCAACAAAAATTATTCACTTCAAAAAAAAATAAAAAAATAAACTACGTTTAAAAATTTAATTTTACTTTTTTAAATAAATTAAGCTACAATATCTCAAGTATATTAGATATTAATAATAAGAACAGATAAAACGGAAATTTTATATAAGCATTATATAAAATGAATTTATGGAACTTAAATAATTTAGTAATATTTGCATTTTCTTTTTTTTCTTTTTTTTTTCTTACTTCATTATTTTAGATTAATGAAACGATTGAAAAATTAATACGTTAGATACTTATACAAAAAATATTTTTCATATATTTATTATTTATATTATATTAAATAACCCAAAGATCAAATTTCAAATTCATATATCATACCGAAGTGGAACGTAGTTTATTTAAATTTTAAAACGATATTTAATTACAATGGTTTTAACGATTATCAGAATAATGTCTAACCGTCTCTGTTCAACAATTCTCGATTGGCACAAAAGCCGTTCAACTTGTGCTTTATACCATTATCCTTGACAAAACCATTTGCGTATCCATTGTAATTCTTATAGTTGACACTATTTGACAAAATTTTCAAATCATGTTGTTCATGTTCCTTCCTTAGATCGTTGACTTTCATTACTTCCCTGTTGGTAAATCCATTTTTAATTACTTTTATACAATCTTGAAACTCATTCAACGGGCTGCAATTGTTATTCTCGTGTTGCTGCGCGTCTGCTTTTTTAATCATATTACTCTTCTTAAGAACATCGATATTTTCATCTTTATTGCTATCATGTTTATCAATATTTTCAGTGTTAAATAACTTCTCAGCAATAACAAAGATAAGAAAACCAAAGAGCACCCAGATACCGCAGCCCATTGAAGATTTATCAGCATTACTGTTTTCTTCTGAAAGGAAACGCTATTGTACATAAATGGCAATCGAAAATATAAATATACATGAGAGCTGGCATACTACAGTGATGTATCAGAGTAAAATACGAAAGTATTCTAATATTAAAAAAAAAAAAAAAAAAAAAAAAAAAAAAAAAAATGCAATACGAAAATATTCAGTATAACATATTTATCATATGTTTCTATCGAACAAATATTGATTGTATCAAAACAATTAATTAACAAGCAAGTATGATCGAAGAAAAAATAATGAGAGATCGGATATTATATACTAATAAATGAAACTATAAATTTAAACATTTTACATAAAAGTTAGTGTTTCAAATTAAAAGATCCATTACATAAAATTCGAAAAAATTTTCTGTTACATTGCTACATTATTAAGAAAATTTTACATATTTATCATCGATAAAACATCTACACTAGATTTTTATATTGACTTTTCATGTGATTATTAATTATTTAATCATTAATTGATACAGATTTATATACCTTCTATATTAATTATGATTATTAATATAATATTACAAAAAACTGAATAATCAGATTAACTTAGTTAAAGTGAAGTTAGGTAACACTTATATAAATAGCTTCTTTCTTGAGATTATGCGCATAGCCTCTTTTTACTCCATTAACTTTATTATTCCATTGAACTTTTAAAGTTAGAACTGATCTGTGCTCTAGATTATTTATTTAATAAATAAATTTTGATGTATTACATTAATTTTTCTGTTTTTACAAATTAAAAGTTTTATTAATTTGAATGAACTTGAGTGTCACAAGTAATTCGTATATTATAATAATTTTATGAATGATAACATTTGTTCTTTTAATCGACCGTTTCTCAATCGATGAATTTCTGTATCCAGTGCATTAGTGTTCGAATAATATACAAGATATAAGCTCAATAAATGTATTATATGAAATATTATTCAACTTGTGTAGAATTATAAATAGTAATAATTTCACCGAATGTAGCTCATATATACATTTAATATATATATATATAATATACAATTGAATGAAAAAAGTAACCACTTGCATTGTTATTATTATTATCCCGTAACATGATTTAAGTATTTTTCAATGATTTTACGAGCTTTATAATGGCTAGATTTTTAGAAGATTGTGGAGTAGCAAATATTACCCAAACTAAAATAGAGTTTGATAAATCAATAAATTTATATGAATTACAGTATTCATGAAATGAATATTATATTCTCATTTAAGTAAATAACTTCATTCTTACTATTCGTACTATTATTGACATTGGTCCATCATCAAATTATTAAATTTTCTGATAAAAGTTAGAAAGCAAATTTGTTGAAATTATAGTCTATAAAGAATATAATTAAAGATAATCAGTTACGAAGTATTCAAACGGGCCTGATTAATGATCACTTGCTTTTCAAATTACAATAACTAATATATTTATTATTATCAACTAATTTCAGCAACTACTTGTGGAGGCACAATACGGACTATTTATTTGTTAGCGTTTAAAACATAATTATTGAGCTTTAAAAGTAATCTAAGTGATTTTATATAACAATGAAATATCAAATTGAAGAAATTCAAAATTTATTATGTTACCAATTTACCTTAGTTAATATTTTTATTTTATCTAACAGCTTTTATCTGTAGCCAAGAACATGATGTATATGCAATATCAAATTTATTCAAACAATATTCTGCTAATCAATATTAGTTCTAGTGTGTCATTATCACTTTCTTCTATTATGTTTTAAATATATTTTTCTTGCTCGAATTTCTAATTTACTTTTCATTAACAAAACTGATTAATATTCCACTACTGTAAAGAATAAATAATTCTTATAAATCATGAAATATAATTTACCGTATTATTTTATGACAATATATTTTATGATCACATTGATTGGTTAAAATATATTAAAATATGTAATTCTATGTTTGTTTGAGATAGAAAATATCTCTTTGAAAAACCCAATTAATAATTCCTCCAATTTAACATTATCAGTCTGTCACAAGCATCTCCTTGTTCCTTCCGCGTCTTGTCATTGCTCGATTTATAAACTATTGAAAGTATAATAAGACGTAATAACATATAATAAAATATATTATCATACACAAGTTCATTATACGAACCAGACAATACGAACCAGACGGAAAACTACATATGCAAGAATTTTCAACAATAAAACTTTAATACAATTAATTATATAATATAAAATATTCAAATTTAATGCATTTAAAATTTTATATATTAATTAATATAAAAAATTATGTTTATTTTTTTAATTGTAGGATTAAGATATGCTTAACTTATAATAATAAAAACAAAATCACTTTTGTATCAAATATAATTAAAAAATAATTAAAAAAAAAAAACCTTAATAAGTTACCTGTGTGTATTGTAGCATAATTAGCCCAAGCTTCTGGTAAAAGATGAAGAAAGACATCTCCTAAAAGGCCGCCAACGGCAAAACTCAGAAGAATTTTTAATGTTTTAGCGCCATCTATAAAAATTTTAATATTTATCACATTAGACATAATTGAACATGAAGTAATAAGTAATGTTTATAATTATAAAGGTACACAATTTAATGTAATATATTCAATTTTAAAATTATATTAACATCTTCAAAACATACAATGAAACTACACCCAACGTAATTTAGCATTCATAAACGTATTTATATCAGTAAAAAATTATTGTTTTAACGATTACGTAGATTCAAACTTTAAATCTGTATTAGGCATTAATAAATAATAGAGTTTTTTTTCAAATAAAAAGACATACTTATTAAATTAAAAGGTCATTTATCGAAATATACCAAGTAGTAAGACCAAGTAAAAATAGTTTCAATAAATGTTGCATGGAAAAAGTTATATCTGCATAATGAATAAAAACAAATCAATAATATTATTAAAAATTCTACTACTTCATTACAAATGGAACATAAATAATAAATAATTGCAAATTCATATAAACATTTTTGCAAACTTGAACAATTTTTTTTTTATTTAAATATTATAATAAAAAAAAAAGACTATACAAGTGATAAAGAATCTATTATATAATAATAAGGAAGTAAATATTAGTATTTATAAAATATGTAATATGTAAAGAACTTAATTATAACGAACGATGCATAAATTATATGCAAACAAATAGGTATTAATAAAAATACATTAATAAACATTCCTTAATTCTAAATAAATATATATATATATATATATATATATATATATATACATAATGGCTAACATTAGTAATATAATAATATTTTAGTTAAATTTTATACAATAATCAATTACATTTATTAAAATAATTTTTAAATATATATTTTAGAATTTCATTTACAAACCCTACAAATTTGTTAAACAAATATAATAAATAATTCTTAAAATTAATAATAAAATTCTGAAACAATTAAAAATTACAATTATAAGTAATATTTATTCTCTAACTTATCTTAAATATTAATTGATATTTCAAAGGACAGAAGTTTGTTTAAGCATATAAATCATATATAAAATCATACTTTAGAACCATTTGGATTACAACCTAATTTCTTACATAGAAAATCGTAAATAATTTCCTATAGTTTTAATTATATCGAAAGTAAAAATAATATTACACGATATATTATTTGAAATACTAATATTCAAAAATACTATTTTTGACGACCTCTTAAATAAAGTTAAAGTAATGTTTAAAAGTTAAAAATATAGATTTTTCTCTACAAATTAATAATAGATCATTCATTACTAATAACTAATAAAAAAAGGTTTAATTTTGTGATGTTTTTATAATGAATACTTTCAATACCAAATACAACAGCAGTGTTAAAAACATAAGGTGCCAAGTAAATTTATAATAACACTAATCATATAATCGTTATTAACAATACATAATCATCAATAATGATAAAATTAAAGAATAATAATAGTAACATAAATAATCAATTGTTTCTTCCGTCATAATAGCGAACAAAATTTAAAAAGTTGAGGGCTACTATTTTCAGAAGGAATTCATGATTCGACCGATTTTATAATATCTACTTTTTAAACACAAATCCTCCATGAACATTAAATATACATTAAGTATTATGAAAGTCAAATAATAATTAATAGATTATATTTTCATTAATAATTATATTATTAACGTAAGCATAAATAATTCTAATGATAATTCTATTGAATTTATGATAATTAAATGAATTAAGTAAACTAATTGTATACGAATACCACAGTACCTGAAAAAGTTAATATATTTAATTAAGATACATATATTATAGTAGAAATCGTAAAAAATTGGAAAATACAGAATGCGAAATCAAAAGGAATATAATTTTTGCTATGGAAACCTTCACATATTTTATTACAACTAAATATTTAGCTAATACATTTCAAATTTAAATATATTATCACGAAAACTGCTATCTAATAAATAAATTATGTACCATCGTCCTATTAAGTTCCTTAATAATAATAGTAGGATCCTCTCTATTAATCCATAAATTATATATTATCCTAGAAATTAAAAAATGAATTATTTATAAAGGAATAAATAAAAATTATAATCATTTTGTTTCTATATCAAATAAATATTTAAAATAATTAATAATGAATAGTATTCATATGCTACAAAATATAGATTTTTCAGTATTAAAATAAAACCCGCTTCTAAAGAATCATATTCTTTTATTATTTTTTTAATTTCTTTACTAAATTATAATTTATAATTAAAAATTTATTCCAATATAGATCAACATTCGTGTATAAATTATATTGCATAATGTATAATACCATATCAAATATTAATAATTCATATAGCTATCATTCCAATTTAATCTATTATGTATTAAAGCGAATAAAATTATAATTTCTTGCCTGCACGTAGTTCCATTGAAAACTAACTCTCACTTTATTTGCCTAACGTGAATTGAACTTTTCAACACCTCTCCATCTTTCTAAATTATAAATTATTAATCGATTAACAATATCAATATTTCTAGATAACTCAATTTCCAACCACTAAACTATACAAGTTCAAACTCAATGCTCAAGGAGGTTACGGCATTTGTTGAGCAATAAAAACAAAATTGTTTGAAAAATCTTATATTTCCTATTCACGAATATTACAATTTTGATATTTAGGCATTAGTGTATGATTTTGATATCTCATTTGAGTATAGATATTAACTATATAACTAATAGCAATAAGCATTTTAATAATTATTATTCATTGTTTATTAAATTTCAAATCAATGCCTACGCTAACTCATCAAAAAAATAAAAGAATGACATATGGAATTATAATTGCCAAATGTTTTTAATATTCTAACAATATTGCACTATTGACTTAGTGTCAAAAATTACAATCTTTACATTATTCCACGAATACAATAATTTATCACTAATTTCATTAGACTTAGTTGCTTGTGTAAACAAGTATGCGTTGACTTATCAGTATGTAGTATTTCGTAGATCATTTGCAGATAATTGACATTGTATAAATAATCATATGACAATGTACGTTTAAACCTATTAATCGTAAAATATATAAGAACCAATAGGATTAAGATGATAAATAGATTACAAGATGACTATTTAATTATACTGCCAAAGGGAACACTGACAGAGATAACGATATATTCTCATCGCGATTTCAGAATAAAAAAATGAAATCACAAAAGGAGTATCGAACAGACAAGGACAATAATTACAAATATATTATCAATGTTTAATGTATGTATCAAATAGTATAGTTTTTCGTTACATATAAAATTGAACTCTAAATTATTTATTACTTGGAATATACATTAAGATGCTAATCAGTAGGGAAATTCATTACATATTTCGTTACACCATCAATTATTTCTGCTTGAGGATTAAACAGGGAAGAAAATTAATATAAAATTAAGAATGAAATTACTATATATAAAATGTTCATATAAAATAGAACATAAAGTTACCTTTTATTATTTGATAAATATAGCTACTGCATAATATTATTTTCATTTTGAATTGAAAATATACATTTATAAAATGCAAAATCCAGCCCATTATAAATAAATATAAAATACGAAGTTTTCAAAGGACCATAAAAACTTGTTTAATATTTATTATATTTATTAAAACAATAAATTACAAGATGAAAGTTCATAGTAGCTTTATATTTATTAAATATTTATTTTCGTTAAAAACTTTTAAATACTTTTTTCAGTTAATTCATTAAACAATCGCCGAAAGTATAAAATAAAGACATTAAAAATAACCATAGTTAGAAATCTAAAACGAAATTTATTTTCAAATACGCTTTGTATATCAAAGAAATATAACATCAATCACTAAATGTTATTTAAACGAAGTATTTAACATATAGAAGAACATTTTCAAACAAAGAAAAAAAAAGATTTAGAAGAATCGATAAATATATATCTATAAGCGTTTATTATATATAATATTTTTTCAAACACCCTTGTGGGTTCTAACGTATGCGATTTTAAATAATTCCTGCAACATTCAATTTTCCTCGACACTGCTTATAGGACTGATTAAAGTCCATTTTTCGACATTCATTGAGTTGTGAACAACATGTAAGAAAATTACTTGTACTATATTTGTTTGGTATATATTATATATATGAAAATTATGAAAATATTTTTATTAAGGAACTGTAATTATGAACATATATTTAAATAAAATGGAAAGTGTTACATCAGCAAAACACAATGCAAATGAATACTAAGAAATTATAAGATAATGTATTTCTATGTTCCATATTTGATTTATTTACTACCATATAATGTATGTGTAGATATAAATTATTCTAATATACTCTTATAATTTTACTTATATTATTATTTAAATCTCTCTCTCTCTCTCTCTCTCTCTCTCTCTGTAGAATAATTTTATAATGTATTACAATATATGATACAATCATCTTTTTCATTTTTTATAATAATATCTTAATTGTACAAAGAGTTTTAATTTATATTTTAATTTTTCAGCATTTTAAATTACTTATTCAAGATCAAAATATTCATTTAAATATGAAAAGATTTCGATATTAACATATAAATAATTGTAGTATAATTATGAGTGAATAAATATACCATAAATAAATGTAAATACATAACTCTTAAAACTAATACTATATATTTTAGCTTAATCATAGTGAATATTTGCGATTTTTTACTTAGATTTTATAATCAATGTTCAGCACATGTTTGCGCATTTTCAAAACAAAATTTTTACGCGAAAATAGTTTGATGACCTATTTAGCATTTATTAATTCAAAGATAAATTTGAAAATTATAATTCAGAATTTTTAGTCTAATTATCATTTTCTTTAAATTTGACATAGATTTTTGTAATCTATTCAATTATATCAAGGCATTGCAATGATAAAATGCTGGAAGCTGCAAGATAAATTATTAGAATTTGTATTTTTCATAAAAATTTTTGCTCGTATCAAAGAATTTTCACGACATTATTAAAGCGCATA